CTGCCTCAGCCTCCTGAGTAGCTGGGACTGCAAGCAGGCACGACCACATCTGAATACTTTTTGTATTTTTAGTAGAGACGGGGTTTCAGCATGTTGGCCAGGCTGGTCTTGGACTCCTGACCTCAAGTGATCTGCCTGCCTCAGTCTCCCAAAATGCTGAGATTACACGCATGGGCCACCGTGTCCAGCCAGGAAGTCCTGTCTTTCACCAATGGCCCCCCGGCCCCACCTCTGACTCTCCTCAGAGTACTGACATGTTTCACAAAGTGGGAGGGTGATCAGTTGCGGAAAATATGTGCGCTGACAGCAAGGGAAAAGAGGAAATGTCTGATTTGGACCCCAAATGTCCTCTAGGAACCCAGTTGCCACCGCCCTCGCCATTGCCTCAGAGGCAGCAGGTGCCCCTGGAGACCGCTAGGTGTCGCTGTGAACCTGTGCGAGCGCGGTCTCACCCTGCGGGCGCACATCAGCGCGGTCTGTTTTCAATCAACACCTTGTCAGTTTTTCTCCCCGAGGCCCCAGGAGTGTGCTAGGAATTTTTATTTCTTGAGAAATACTGTGATTGAGCTGCCCTTTGTTGGCCCTGCTCGAGAGAACGAAAGTTGTGCTTGCTTCTGCCAGCCCCCCAGGCAGGGGAGTCCCCTGCAAGTGTTTTCAGGTCACCAGCCTCTGCCTCCCCACCTCCCATTCTTCCTCTTCATCCTCCTTTGTATCTTTTTCTCTCAGTGTTCGGTAACACCGACCGGGAGAGAGAAAAAGGTCGTCATCCCAGAGGCCTCCATCAACCCTTCTGAATTTCACCGGCGCCTAAATAAACTAGCTTGCAAATTCCGTTCTTGTCCTCCCCTTCTGACTCTACTGCCAGCCTTGCCCCTTTCTTTGAAAGCATCCACAAGATTGAGGCAGTGTTGCGGTGGGAGCAACAAGAAGCTCAGCTATCTTTTTAATTTCCTTTTTTTTTTTTTTTTTTTTTTTTTTGACACAGGGTTTTACTCTGTTGCCCGGGCTGGAGTGCAATGGCACGCTCACAGCTTCCTGCAGCCTTGACCTCCTGGGCTCAAGCAATCCTCCCACGGCAGACGCCCTAGTAGCTGGGTCTATAGCCCTGAGTCACCACACATGGCCAATTTGTGTAATTTTGGTAGAGCCGGGGTTTTGCCATGTTGGCCAGGCTGGTCTCAAACTCCTGGCCTCAGGTGATCTGCCTGCCTCTGCCTCCCCAAGTGCTGGGGTGACAGGCATGAGCCATCCCACCTGGCCGAGGCTCAGCTAATCTTATTGGGCTTGTCAGACTCTACTCCAGGCACACAGGGGCTTAAAAGGAGAATCTGCTTTCAGGTCCTACCTCCCTCTGCCACTTACCAGTTATGAGACCTTTGGCAGGTCACATACCCTTTCTGAGCCTCAAGTCTTCATAGGTAAACTAAATTTATACACATAAATTCTATATTAAGTATAATTATAAATGTGAAGACCCCATATGATCTGGCATGTAGCAAGCATTCCATAAATGCAAAGTGATTTCCTTATGACTACAGCGACACTTACACAGATACATATACATGCACTCAACCAAAGACAGAATTTGGGACCTTTACTCTCCTGAGCATGTAGCAAGATGGTATGCCAAGGAAACAAAATTCAGGGGTGTGTATCCAGAGATGCCAAGAACCCCCGCCATGGATTCCAATCCTCTCTGTGCATGTCAACAGTGATGGACCTGTTTTGAGCCCAGCTGGGTGCTGTCTTGATCAGTGGCCATAGCTTGCTTGGCAAAATGCCAGGATAGCTGTCCTGGGCTCTTTGGGAAAAGGCCACTTTTGGGTGGAGCAGCTGCTCACTCCCTCCAGAAGGCTTGATGCTGCTGCACTCCCTGGTTTCCAGTTACCACATGACTACTGTGGTTTTTTGGGGTGGCCACAGGGTGGACTCATGGCCTTGGGTGCTGTGTGGCTGCTCTCTGCAGGCATTGAGGTCACATACCCTGGAAAACTTGGGGGAGGGTGGAGAGAAGGGAGAGCCAGTCTTTCACCAGAGGCGTTTCTGGCCCATTCACTGGACGCTAAATGGCAAATAGAGGGGCCACGCCCCTGCTGGCCAACATAGGTCACTGCAGCCCCTCAGTCTTTGGGAAGAGGCTGTTTCTGAGTAATCAGCATCTCTGCTTGGAAGGTACTTGAATACTCATAGCCAGGATGAGGCTGCTTTTGTTGAGCAGCAGATAATACGTAGTGTAGCGGGTGTGTGAAGAACAGAGAAAAGAATAAACATTGCCTCTTGCATCGCCCATAGTAGTCTGCGAGGCTTGGCAGGGGTGCAGGAGGAAAGGGCTGTTTCAGACCCCTAACTCAAGCCTCAAAGGACAGGACATGCTCAGAGTGCGCTGCTCCTGCAGAGGCTGGTGTTAACTCTGAACCCGTGAAGATTTCCGCAGCCATGAGCAGCCTTAAGCTTTCAGGGTAGGCCAGGCGCGGTGGCTCATGCCTGTAATCCCAGCACTTTGGGAGGCTGAGGTGGGTGGACCACAAGGTCAGGAGTTCAAGACCAGCGTGGCCAAGATGGTGAAACCCTGTCTCTACTAAAAATACAAAAATTAGCTGGACGTGGTGGCCTGTGCCTGTAATTCCAGCTACTTGGCAGGGTGAGGTAGAGAATTGCTTGAACCTGGGATGTGGAGGTTGCAGGGAGCCAAGATCATGCCACTGCACTCCAGCCTGGGCAACAGACACACAGACACACACACACACACACACACACACACACACACACACACACACATAAAATCTCAGGGTAGAGAGCTGTTGAGCCAGAGGATCCATCTGGGTGTCCAGTCACCTGACCCCTCTTCCCATCAGAACACAAATCAAAGGCCATCACTAAGCCCTTCCTGCCTAGGATCAGAGGAGACACACTCAGTTGCTGTCCTGGCTCTGTGACCTCTGGACAAGTCTCCTAATCTCTCCAACCTTCAGCTTTCTCATCTATAAATGGATATGATTCTCAAGATGAAGACCATTCTCAGAAGCGTGCCTGAGAATAGAGATGGTGCAGGTGGAGTGCCCACTTGTGGTAGGCATACATGCAATCCTGAGGTTTCCAGAGACTATCTGCAGGCTGCTAAGGTGCAGCAGGAGCTGTTGCTGCTAACCACAGTGAGGTCTGCCAGCATTCCAGACCAGACTCCTCAAACCAAAGCGGACAGGAGCTGGGAGGGGCTGAATGTCCCACATGCAACCTGAGCTAAGGGTGCCTCACTTGTCTGTTTGAAAAGCATATCAAACCCTTAAGCATTGCTGGTGGGAATGTAAAACAGTGCAGCCATGGTGGAAAGCAGTCTGGCAATTTGTCAACAAGATAAATAAAGAGTTACATTTCCTAGGTATATACCTAGGAAAGAAGAACAAATGTCCACGGAAGAAGTTGTATGCAAATGCTCATTGCAGCATTATTTATAGTAGCCAGAAGATGGAAACAACCCAGATATCCATCAACTGATGAATGGATAAATAAAATGTGGTATGTCCATGCAACAGGTGATTATTCAGCCATAAAAATGAATGAATGCACCTACAGTGTGGGTAAATCTTGAAAATGTTATGCTAAGTGAAGCCAGACACAAAAGGACAAACACTGTATGATTCCATTTGCATGAAATGCCCAGTGTAGGCAAATCCATCGCAAGAGAAAGCAGTTTAGCAGTGCCTGTGCCTGGGGACGGGAAATGACTGTTAATGGGCGTGAAGTTTATTTTGGGGATGATGAAAATGTTTTTGAATTACATACTGGTGACAGTTGCACAACACGAATATCTAAAACCCACTGAATTCTATGGCATGTGAGTTAAATCACAATGAAACTGTTATTTTAAAAAAGGACCCTTAGCCTGCCAGCTGGAGTGTGCTCTGACCGTGGACCAGTAAACGAGGTGGGCTGTGCGGGAAGTGCAACTCTTGTGAGCCTTGCCTATAAATCAGATTAAGCAGCTTCCCTCCCTCAGCTGTGCAGGGTTCTGAAGGGGCTGCAGCAGCTACAGGCTGTCTCTGAACACCACCACTGTGAAGAAAGGGCTGCTGAGGGCGCTGCAGCCCAGAGTGTGAGCAGCACGAGGCCAGCCTCACCCGGAGAGCCCAGCTTGCAGCCACATGGGAAGAATCAGAGCTCAGGAGCATGCCCTGCCTCGGTCTCAACACTGATGGGGATCAGGCTTTCCAAACCAGGCATCAGAACTGATTGTATGGTTTGTACTCATGGGGGACAGTGAGATACATCATTTTAAGTGGGATCTGTCTCCAAAAATGTCGGCAGGCCTGTTTCCTTGGGGCATTAGCTGGAACCTTTTTGGGAAGCGTGATGTGGCAGAAACCCTGACCAGCACACCTATGTGTGCACACAGGACAGCCACCACCCACTGCAGACCATGCATGGGGCAGTCGCACTCGGGAGAGCCCAGATGACTGCATCTGGCTGCTTCCACTGAGGGAGGGGCTCATGGCTGCTGGGGAGCCTTGATCTGATACAGGAGCAGGGCTCAGGAGAACTCAGGACTTTCTTCAAACCCAGGACAGTCCTTCACAAAGGTGTCACAAGGTTTCCACCGTCCTCCACCGCTGCCCCGGACCCAGCCCCTGCCATCTCATACCTGGATGAATCCAACAGCCACCAAACTGGTCTTTCCACCTCTATCCTTGTTCTCTCCCTTTCTTAAGTCTCTTCTCAAATCAACACAAGTAAATAACGTCACTCCTCTGCTCAGCCCTCTGCCATGGCTCCCATCACTCAGAGTAAAAGCCGAAGTCCTTACAGTGAGACGCAAACTCCTCTCCACACGGGTAGACCATTCAAGGATCCAAGAAGCAAATAGGCCAGGATGCAGCTGGAACTAGAACTCTGTGGAACAGCTTATCAGCAGGCCGCATTCAGCTGTAGAAACAGAATGGAGGCTGCTCAAGGGCAGGGATGGGGTCTGCCGTGTTTCCTAATGAGTCCACGCTCGGCACATGGTAGTTGCTCCATAGATATTTATTGAATGCAAAGGAAGGATAAACACACGCTAAGTTTGGAATGAGAAACCCCCAGTTTCAATAGCAATCATTTTCTTCAATGCTCACTCATTTTGCAGCTTAATTTTCACAGCCATTACAAAGCACATTAGTAAAAAGGCAAACAGTGAGAACCCCCAGATGTGAAAGGGGGCTCTGAGGAGCAGAAGTGTCGTTTCCTGGTTTCTGTTTGCACCCGTGCTTGCCACACAGGCTGAGTTGCAGACCCTGCTTTCTACTGAGCACAGTAAAAACCTCCATTGTCACAATCTACTGTGCAGTTTCAAAGTCTTCAACAATTATGATTGCTATGTGGTCTAATTCCTGAATGTATTTACCCCAATGTGACAATGAATCAGAATGAAGAAAGTAAACATTGGCTATAATCAATCATACCTGTTTAAGGCCTTGGGAGGGAAATGGGAGAAAACTTTCACAGATCCATGGTGGTCGCTGGCTTCATTTTATTCAGATAACTTTTCTTCCTCAAACCTGATCAACACTGGGAATTGGCTGTCTGCAATCAATCAGACTGAGTGCGGGCCGAGTCTTCGCCGTACCTTCCTAAATTCACCTTAGCCTCTGGTTGCTTTTTGCAACCAATGTCGTTTCGCTATTTGCTACATGACCTGGAAAAGAGGCCATCCACAAGCCTGCTTTATTCAATCCAATTCTACAAATGTTTGTTGAGTGCTTGCTTCATATCAGATCGCTTGTGGCCACCACTTCATTTCCATGAGGTGAGTGTGAAGTGGCCAAAGGGAAAGCTGTAGGGGGTATTTGGATCGAGAAGATTCTATATCCCAGCCCTTGAGCCACTGCTCAGGCCCACTCCCACACTGTGGAGTGTTTCATTAAATCACTGCTTTCATACTTTTGTTGCTTCATTCTTTCTTTGCTTTGCTGTGCATTTTGTCGAATGTTTTGGTCAAAACACCAAGAACCTGGTCAACTTGCAGCCAAGACCCTCTGCCGGTAACTTTGACTTGTGGATTTCCCCCACCCAACCAGCCAGATGTACAAAAGAAGAGGGGGCAACAGGGGTACTCTCCTCCCGGTGCACTCTTGCCCCTATTTCTTGAGTTTCTCAGGGCCTGCCTTGTGACTAGGAAGACACCCAGCAGTTCCTGCCCATCACCAGGGAAGACACTGAGCTCTTCAGAGAGGCCCCCGGCTTCAGGAAGTCCCTCTCTGTCCCTAATTTAAATCTCTTCTCTGGCCATTAAGCACAATTCCCTCTTGCCCTGTCATCACCGGAGAAGAAAGAACAGCTGCTCACCATTCCCCTTGTCTCACTGCAACCTCTGCCACCTGCATTCAAGTGATTCTCCTGCCTCAGCCTCCTGAATAGCTGGGATTACAGTCACCTACCACCACGCCCAGTTAATTTTTGTATTTTTAATAGAGACGGGGTTTCCCCATGTTGGCCAGGCTGGTCTTGAACTCCTGACCTCAGGTGATTCCCCTGACTCAGTCACCCGAAGTGTTGGGATTACAGGCCTGAGCCACCTAGCCAGGCCCTTTTAATCATTCTTAATGGGCTTCTAAACAGTTATTAAGTCCCCCTTCAGCCTTCTCAAAGCCTCATTTTACTTGCATTGAAGCTGAGAGCTTCTGAGGAAAGCATTTGACTCCAGGCCCCACAGATTTGCAATGTCTTAAATAGGCCATCAGCCACTTCACTCGCTTTAACCTGCATAAATGAGCAGTTCTGCCTTCTCTCGCAAAGTTTAAATCCATTCAAGGGAGTGCCCTGGCAACCAGCCCTTATTAATAAATGAAGCCCAATCTAGGCCAGGACAGGGCATTTTGCAATGAGAAGGGACACTGGCTCTAGGCACACAGCTCTAGGCTGCTTCTCTCTCTGAAGCTCTGTGTTTGCTGGATGGATCCCGTCTGTCTCCCACAGGGTCCTGGTAGGCTCTCACCTGACTCCCCACAATTGGGAAGGGAGTGCTGCCCTAATGAGCTCTCACCTGGACCTTTCTTGGGGTTACTGGACTAGGGTCACAGCAGCTGGGCAGCAGGGCATAGAGTTCAAGTAAGGCTTGCTCAGGCTCTGCTAGGTACACATTGGAGAGTTTCACTTCCTATTCCACCATAATACCATTTATCCCCAGTTCATTGCTCATGCCTGCAGGTGGAAGTCTGAGTTGTATGTCTAGACAGAGCTTCCAGCATGTCCCACTCAGAATCCTGCGGTTCTTTCCAGTCACAGGAAAGGGAAGGAGCAAGGCGGGTCAGTTGTAAGGCTGGTGGTGCTTCAGCTTTGAGGAAAAAGTGATTTCACTTCAATAGTAATTCTAACTAGAATGGATAAAATTGAAAGGACTGACAATCCCAAGTGTTGGCAAGGATACAGAGCAGCTGCAACACTCAGTGTTTGCTGCTGGAGTGGGAGTCAGAGCCACCACATTGGAACTCTTTGACAGCATCTGGCAATTGCTCCAACAATCCCACTCCCAGGTATATAAGCAAAAACGTGAGTTTTTATGTTCACCAAAAGACATGTACAAGAAAGTTCATAGTGTTGTAATTCACTTTTTTTTTTTCAGATGGAGTCTTGCTCTGTCACCCAGGCTCTAGTGCAGTGGCATGATCTCAACTCATTGCAACCTCCGCCTCTTGGGTTCAAGCAATTCTCCCTGCCTCAGCCTCCCAAGTAGCTAGGATTATAGGTGCCCACCATCACACCCAGCTAATTTTCGTATTTTTTAGTAGAGAGGAGGTTTTCCCATATAGGCCAGGCTGGTCTTGAACTCCTGACCTCAGGTGATCCACCCACCTTGGCCTCCCAAAATGCTGCGAATACAGGTGTGAGCCACCGTGCCTGGCCTGTAGTTCACTCTTAAGTTCATTTTTTAAAAGTAAAACATTTGAAACAGCTGCCACCCAAGTGTAGAATGGATGAATAAATTGTGATATAATCATAGAATGAAATCAGACACAGCAACTGAAGTACTGCTAGAGAGAACAACACGGATGACTCTCACATGCAGGAGGCTGACCCAGACACACAAGAGCACATTCTGTGTGATTCTACTTATATGAAATTCAAAAAAGGCAAAACTAATCTCTGATGATAAAGATCGGAACAGTGGCTGCCTCTGGGAGAAGTGCTGAACAGATCAATGTGTCCAATCCTCTAGTTGAACACATTAGATCTGTGCACTTTGACTATAAGTGATACAGTAACACAATAAAAAAGAAAAGAAGGTGCCTACTGTGTTTTCTTTTTCCCAGATGACCAACTCTTATTCATCTGTTGTTTTGTTTTATTTTTTTTTTCACTATTCTGCTTCTGTAGCAGAAGATTTGAGGTGATTTACAAAGGCGTATGGTATATTTATGAGGGAAGAAATCTGGGTGATATTAAAATGAGGGCAGGAAAATAAGTTGGAAACCAGATGTGAGGATGATCTTCACTATTTATGTCAGGAAGTCCTGTGAACTTCCTATGGTGAACCAAATAGAGCTTCCTAGCAGTCAGTGCAAAGAAGAAACACAATTCCACACCCCAAAGTTAACAGTCCTGCTGATCAGAAGCACAGGTCTTTTGAGATCTGATAGAAACCTTTCCTGTATCGTTTCAGAACAGGCAACTATGTGATCAAACCCCTTTTTGTTTGTTTAAAACTTTGTCAAACATCCCAGGTTTGACCCTGGATGTCTGAATCCCCTCAGCCCACATGTTCTCACCTATGCCATGCCCACACTGTCCCCGTAGAATTTAGGGTGAGGCAGCATCCCAGTGATTGACAGGCTCCTCCATAGACCCCGTTTACTTTCTTGGGTGTGGTTTGGGGGAAGCACTGTTCATGAAGGCTGGGTTTCTGTTCTTTGGGGTGCCGGGCTTGCCACTCTTGTTTCTGGAACCCAGACTAGCAACCTCGGCCCGTGTGTTGCCACTCAGTTCATCTTCTTCCCAGCTGGCACTTCTCAGTGGCCTCATCCCTTCCCTAGAAGCAACTGTGCATGGGGCAGCTCCCCGGGGGCCGGACTCTTTCCTTTTTGGCATTTGGGTTAGTGGATCTTTCCACTTTCTGGCTCCAGTTTTTGAATTGAATTCATATATTTTCCCAGTCACTAGTGAAGAAAAAAAAATACAACAATCACATATACCAGAAAATTCCAACGACTGTCTCTTCCCCCACTTCTACCCTGCTCTCATCTGACTCCCGAGGGAAGATGAAGCATACTAGAAGATGTAAATCACTGACACAGACAGCAGGCGGCTGAATAGCACCGCAGTCTTCACCAGCCTGCCCTTGCCACAAGCTGCGCTGCCCCGACCACACAGGTAGCAAACAGCAAACCTCTCTGGATAGAAAGGTTTAGGAGTGTCTCAAGGACATCTCAAGTGCAGGATGAGAAGGCCATGGAAATCTTGAACTCGGTGCAAGCTTCGGCTAAATCAGGTTCAGTTTCTAATGGAATTACCCATTACTTTCTGATTTATTTTGTTTGTTTTAAAAGACCCCTGAATTCCTGCTACAAAAAGGAATTCATCAAGTGAGAAGGAAAAGGCTGATTTTTATTTACGTTAGGTTAACAGCAATTTGTAGACGCACATACACAAATCTGGCCCCACTTGGGATAATGCGAGGAAGCCATTTTTCTTGTGGTAGGGCCAGCAGACACTAATTGATTTAGGCCAATTGGCTCATATCTTTTATTTTCTTTTTTCTGTCTCAGCTACACAAAAACACAAAAATCCCCAGCCTTTTGCTCAGGAAGATCAGGTTTAAGGCAAGCCCCTGGTCCTTGCCATTCCCATACAGCATGAGTGGCCTCTCAGCTCAGGATCCCACCAGCACTTAAGCTAATGTGGGCACATTATGGTAACAAGCACCTAATAATAGAGGGAAATTTAATTCCAGCAGCAGCAGCGGCGGCGGCCGACTCTTACTGGAGAGGAGCCATCCTCCTTAGGAGGAGGACCGGTGCCGTTTGCATGTGAGGGTGGCAGGAAGCCAACACACTTGCCTCCTGAATTTGGTTTCCTTCCCTTTATTCACATCTATAATTGAGCCTTTGTACGCGGAGGGATGAGTGTAAAGGAGCTAAATTTGGAGCTGATTTCAGGGGCTGATGAGAGCTCCGGAGGCCTGCTCTACCTTATGCTCATGTTACCGACCAAGAAGAAATGATTGGCCCTGATCTAGGGAAAGAAGAAGCTACACTTGACATTTATCTGTATCTTCCGCTACTAATAAAACGCTATTAGAAGCATCCAGGAAGAATGTGGATGGAAGGGGGTTCGGTGAGTACCAAAGAGCAGGAAAAAATATGGATTCCTGGATTCACCAGTTCCCTCAACTGGTTCGGAATTTAGGAAGGGAGGCGAGAAAGAGGCACGGCCCTTGAATGTGAGCCTTTCGGTGGAGGCCCACTGAGGCCCCATGTCAGCGTGACCTGTACTTGAGCGGCTGCAAGCCAGCTGGGTTCACAGCTGATCTCACGTTGTATTTAGCCTAGAAGGGTCAGCACTGGAAAGACAACATAGCCAAACAGATTGACAAAATGAATTAAAAGCAGGATGGATAAGGTCCTCCATGCTCCTACCAGTCTGGAGTACGAAAAGCATTCTTACAGTGTTATTGCCTCTTAATTACCTGGATCTGTGGCTTCTCCATCAAAGACAGTGTTCATCTGGATAGTTTCCTACGGAGAACATAGAGACGGCATGGAACGCAACCCTACATTCCTTTCCCTGGCAAGACCACGCATCCTCACAACCCACATGTCTTACCCAAAGCCTTGACTTCTATGTCTTCTTTGGTTTTTTTTTTGAGTTGGAGTTTCATTCTTGTTGCCCAGGCTGGAGTGCAATGGTGCAATCTCAGCTCACTGCAACCTCCACCTCCCTGGTTCAAGTGATTCTCCTGCCTCAGCTTCCCAAGTAGCTGAGATTACAAGCACCTGCCACCACGCCCAGCTATTTTTTTATTTTTAGTAGAGACAGGGTTTCGCCATGTTGGCCAGGCTGGTCTCAAACTCCTGTCCTCAAGGGATCCACCTGTCTCGGCCTCCCAAAGTGCTAGGATTACAGGTGTGAGCCACCGCCCCTGGCCAGTTCTATGTCTTTAATAGGCACTGTGCTACGTGCTGAGGACACAGCAGTGAACAAGGCAGGCTTGGCTACTGCCTGTACAAAGCTTGCCAACTACAAACAGGTGCTACAATGCAGAGTGATAAGACTGTGATGGGGAGATGTAGGGTGTAACGGGGCACAGGGAGGGTAGAGGGGACATTTAAAACAAACTTGGGGGTTAAGGAAGCATCCTGAGTAAATCAAATCTGAGCATAGAAGGAAGAGTGAAAATGCCACACAGCACAGCTAAGACCTACATCGTGTCAGTGGATCACTGTTGTGTATTGTCAAGGTGGACACAGGTGAGCTCCTAGGTGTCCACACCTCTGGCCCTGGCACTCCAGCCCTCCCCTGTGGCCTCCCCTTGCCTAGGCCAATGCAATGTCACATCTGGGCCTCATCTAAGTCCTGTGCTCTGTGTCTTTTCTCTTCTCTGATCTGTCTTCAGTGCCACCCTCCAGATCTGTGTAATGCACCTGTCCCTTGTCCCCATAGAAATACCCGCTTCCCTCACATACTGCCCTCTAGAGGTGCCAAAGTCAGAGAGGTTAGCACAGTAACAAAGATTGTGTTTGGAGTTTAGCAAGGTTTCTAATCCCCAGTTTTTATCACTTAAAGGATCCTCGGGCCAGGTGAGGTGGCTCACGCCTGTAATCCCAGCACTTTGGGAGGCTGAGGTGAATGGGTCACCCGAGGTCAGGACTTGGAGACCAGCCTGACCAACGTGGCGAAATCTTGTCTCTACTAAAAATACAAAATTACCTTGGTGTAGTGGTGCATGCCTATAATCCCAGCTACTTGGGAGGCTGAGGCAGGAGAATCGCTTGAACCCCAGAGGCGGAGGTTGCAGTGAGCCGAGATTGTGCCATTGCACTCCAGCCTTGTCTACAACAGTGAAACTCCGTCTCAAAAAAAAAGAGAGCGAGGTGGAGGAGAGACAACTTTTCAGCTACCCTGTAACATTTTGCATTTGTGTGACATTAACAATTTTCAAACTATTTTTTCATCTGTTATCTCAAGGCAGGTGTCCTCACCCCCATTTTACAGGTGAGGAATCTAAAGCTCAGAGAGGCCAAGGAAGGTGATAAGGCTAAGTGGCCAGAGCCAACCCCGGACCTGGCAGGGCCCTTTCTCTGTCACTTTTCTGCAAGATGGTGGAAGAGCAAAGAAAATTTAAATCAGCCAGGCACAGTGGCTCATGCCCGTAATCCTAGTACTTTGGGAGGCTGAGGTGGCTGGATCACTTGAGGTCGGGAGTTCAAGACCAGCCGGGCCAACATGGTGAAACCCCATCTCTACTAATAACACAAAAAATTAGCTGGGAGTAGTGGCACATGCCTGTAACTCCAGACACTTGGGAGGGTAAGGCATGAGAATCACCTGAACCTGGGAGACAGAGGTAGTAGTGAGCTGAGACTGTGTCACTGCACTCTAGCCTGAGCGACAGAGTAAAGCTGTGTCTCAAAAAAAAGAACATATTTAAATCTCATTGGAGGCTGAAACACTAGTTTTGGTCTTTAAGCTTCATTCCCCCAACTCACTCTCCTAGAAAGCTGGTATAGACAATAAACACCACTACTCAATATTTATGAAATCCAGTTCTTCTGCAAATATATCAGCAGGCATGTTCAGTGGAGGGAACAAATTCTATCAGGAGCTCGTCACACGGCAATCTGTTCCAGCGGCCAAACGCAAGCACCTCCCTGAATGACAACCATGACCACGAGGCTGTGGCAGACCTGCCTTCCAGGGAGATGGGAGTCCCACCTCCCAGCGTCTATGCCAGTGCCCCTCGCTGTCCATACTCACCACCACCACCTCTCTCTTTGCATTCTTCATTTCTGCAGAGAACACAACAGGCAGAAGTTAAGCTTCTTGGGCATTAAATTGACCTTAAAATTCTACCCCCACAATGGTATTTCCCTAAACAGGCTTTGATCTCAGTCTTGCAGACACAGCAAAGAATTGTTCTGTCTGTAGATGTGTTTGTTGACAGCTTTCCATCTTCTCAGAAACAAATACATATACATATATATTCACACACACAATAATACACACATGATTTAATATTTTTTACTTTTTCTAGCTTATTATCAGTGGACCTAGGAAACTCGGTTTTAAATGGCTTTTGAGATAAGAAAGATTACATTGGATATCTCTGTTCATAGGCAAAGATTTTTTGCAATCATTCCCCATGCCCTTTAAATTTTATTTTATTTTATTTATTTTATTTTGAGACAAGGTCTCACTCTGGTGGCCCAGGCTGGAGTACGGTGGCACAATCACAATTTGCTGCAGGCTTGACCTCCCAAGCTCAATGATCCCCTCAGCTACCTCCCCAGTAGCTAAGACTACAGGCATACACTACCACACCCAGCTAATTTTTTTTTTTTGAGATGGAGTTTGCTTCTTATTGCCCCGGCTAGAGTGCAATGGTGTTATCTCGGTTTACCGCAACCTCCACCTCCCAGGTTCAAGCCATTCTTCTGCCTCAGCCTCCTGAGTAGCTGGGATTACAGGCATGCATGGCCACCACTACCAGCGAATTTTATATTTTTAGTAGAGATGGGGTTTCACCACGTTGGTTAGGCTGGTCTCCAACACCTGATCTCAGGTGATCTGCCCTCCTCTGCCTCCCAAGTGCTGGGATTACAGATATGAGCCACTGCGCCCAGCAATCCAGCTAATTAAAAAATTTTTTTTCTACAGACAGGGTTTCACTCTGTTGTCCAGGCTGGTCTCAAACTTCTGGGTTCAAGTAATGCTCTAGCCTTGGCCTCCCAGAATGCTGTGATTATAGGTGTGAGCCACCATGCCCAGCCCCCAGCCCCTTTTAACAAGTGGAATTAGAGGCAGTTTGTGAAAATCTCACAAAATCATCTCTTTCAATATGATCAATAGCCATTATTATCAAATTTCTAACCTTGTTTAGACATGCCTTAAGCATGTCAGACACATGCCTGTGGAGTGTTTAAAGCAAGCATTTTTTGTTTTCTGTTTTTTAAAAATAAAAACACTTCCCATTTCTTTGTCCTGCCTACCCCCATACCCTGGAGTCTACTTGAGGCCAGACCAGGAAAACCTTCTCAGGCCTGGAGCTGCTCAGATGGATCTTCCCAATCTACCCACTTCCCTGAAGTCATTCAGCTCCCTTACCCTACTGATTGCCCCCATCTCCCCTTTCTCACTAGTCTAACCTAAATAATTTGTGGAAATAATCAAATCCGTTAGAATGTGAGAATCAAGTATGATCTAGTCTTTCAAAAGAGTCCTGTGTCCAGCACAAAGCATTGGCTGTCCTCAGGACATCCCTCGTGGGCAGCAGTAAGCAGGTCCTGTCTACATTTAACATGTGGAGAGTTCTTTCTTCCTGTGCCATGTGGTGAGCGACAGACCTAGGTGTTTAGCTGAGCTGATTGGAGAGGGCCCTAGGTAGGGCACTGGGAGGGGACCAAGGTGAGAGACCCAGGCAGGCCAAGGCCCTGTGCCCCCGCCCTTCCCCTTCTCCAGCTGCATCCGACTTCTGTTTCCTCCCATCCACGGAAGATGCAGCTGAAAACACTCTAGACGTGATCGCAGCCTGATTCTCTGCCTAGTAAATGCCTTTTTATGTAGCACAACAGAGGAAGCAAAAAACAACAGACAAAAGAAACAGGTAGTGTACATACCTCCTTTCTTTGTCCTATGAGGGGAAGAAAAGAATGGATATTAATTCACCTGAAAGTATGCTGCACTGGTGCACAAATGACACCATGGGGTTCTTTGGGCAACTCTGCCCTTAGAGATACCGGGGTTGACTGAAAGAGAGGCCAGGGATAGGGGCCAGAAAGAAGGCAAGACCACCATCCCTGCTTCAAAGAAAGCAGCTTCATCAGTTTGGACTAGGGAGGTTCTGGGAATCTGATGAGTTAAAAAGTATCACCTTATAAACTTCAGGGAGTACACTGTCTCTGATGAGAACACCTGGTGAGGACGTGACTGCCCCAGTCAGACTGCCCAGCAAGTCTCCCTGCCCTATCCCTTTCTCCCCAAGAGCCGGCAGAGCGGAAGGCTTGGCTCACAGCAGGGAGGTTTGAGAGCTGGCAGTTACATTTTGGTTTCCTGTCACATGAAGAGCTGGACTTGGACCCTACGACCTTTCCCATGATCACCTTGGATTCTACAGCTCTATATTCTAATTTTCTTCTTTGCTACTTAACAAAGGCTGGCTGTCATATGGTACAACTAATTTCCAGAGAGGCTGAGTCTGAATCTGGTTTTCTAGCTAGTTTTTCTTCTTTAAGTCAACCATGTTGAAAACAATATTTACAACATAAGTTAAAAGAACCAGGTTCAAGGTGAACATTTAACATTTAGCCATAAATTACATGACAGTTGTAGTGTCTATTGGATTAGTTCCTTCAAGAACGTCTATCCAAATCCCATTACAATATACCACCATCCTTACAAGCAATTACTCTTTTAGAGCTGTTTTTTTTTTTAATCAATCTGTGAATAGAGTTCAAACAAAAATGCCTTCTTTAATTTCAGCAGATGCTTGAGGATTTCTTACCTTGAAGTCAAGGTTGCCAATAGCAACAAACTTACACAATAAATATGGCAAAATGCAATGCATATCTTTATGCTAATGCCTTGTACTTTTATAGTCTTTCATCCACAGATTTTAAATTACTTGACAGTTAATAGTTAATATTTAAAACACCTTTAGAAGGCACACATGTCTTATCACCCCCTCTTTCTGCCATTGAGAGATCCTAGAACTCAGAGGTTCCAACACCACAAGACATTTGGGCATAGCGCTCAACTTAGAATCTAGAATCCTGAACTCACTGGGACTCATCTGTGAAGAATAAGGAAACAAGGTTTTTAAAAATGACTGGGTAGCATACTAAGCATTCGCCCTATATCAGGAACACAGCTAAGTGCTTTGTTTGCATTTACTCATTTAGTTGATTAAGTTTACGAATAAGAAAATTCAAGCTCACAGAGGTGGTCACTTGCACAAAGCCATATTCCAAGAAAATGGCAGAGCTAAGACTTGAGCCCAGGCCTCATCTAACTCCCAATCTCAGGCTCAGAACCATCTAAGTAGCAAGTTGTAAGAGCTGCCAAGAATCGAGAAGCCTGGCTCTGGGACAAGTCTGTGATTCTTTGGTGCTCTCTTCATGTCGCTCTACTACCTCACTTTTAGCCCGCAAAAGACACGTCACAGATTGGCACAATAAGAGGTATATTAGTGAGCAGGTGAAAATTGGAAAGAGAGACAACGACCTGCATTTACAACCCTTAAGAGAGACCAAGACCACATGCAAAGCACCGATAATTATTTAGTCACACAAAAACCCAGGTGAGTCACTGGAGACAAAAGCCTAATTCCCTTAGTGGTTTTTTCTGCTTGCTTTAATTCCATACTATCCTTTAAATATTCTACAAATAAGGGCACAGCACATTCTATCACTATTCACAACAGGGCTTTTCTGAAGGTTTTATTCAGGGCAAGGTCATCAGAAGGTTGATGCCCCAGTCTCATTGAGAGCCCATCACGGACAGAATAGGTTGCCAGGGAAAGCCAACAGGATGGTTTCCTGGCCTAGCAGGTGACAAAGAGGGTGCACCAGGACTGCGGGGAGCTGGATCCCTTCCCCCATAGCTCCTTTTCCTGCCTTCATTCCAGGCAACCTGCCTGGTAGAGAAATCCTGATTCTCCATTTTCCTTCTCCAGACATCACCAGAAACCGTGTCTTAAAGGGGAGGAGGACCCAGCCCGCTGGCAACTTACAGAGCTTTCTTGTTCTTCCCAGTCTTGCTGGAGCAGTGTCTGTGGATGGCTTTGGCCAACAGGATGACCAGGGACACCAGGAGACCCAGAAGCAATATGGAGCCCAAAGTGATGACAAAAGGCACGTACCACGCGGACGGAGAGTAAACGTTTTTCCTCAGGACCTGGTAGGTGACCCTGGGCTTGAACAACAGAGAGCAGGGAGGGTGAGTGGAGGGTGGTAGCGGTTTTGCCTTTCAGCACTCCCTCTCGCTGAGCGTTTCCTCCGCTCGTTGTTCTTGCTCTGTAAATTGGACATCTGTGTGCTCTTGGTTCTTGCTGCTTCAACACATCACCTTATTTATAGGCTTTGCAGACGTCCATTAGATCAAACCCAGAAATTTTAGGGAACTGAAAAGCAACTCCAGGCCTAATTTTATTCTCTGTCTTCCCCTTCCCCAAAACTAAAAAGAGTCTGTTGGCTTTTTTTTCTGCCATATCTGGGCATAACCCATGGATGAATATAGCCATTGTCTCTCACCAACAAGGCATAAGCCACGTAAGTCTTTTTTTTTTTTTTTTTTTAACACCTTGTAGGCTTTTCAGGGTTTTCTCAACTACAAGCTGCCACTGCCAGAGGAGTGAGCTGACAGCACAGTGAAGCCTCAAGTTCAGCATCTGTTTCCTAGAGCGGAAGACAGATACCAAACAAGTTACAGAGGTTTCAAGATTGGAGATGTCACCATCAGGTCATGCTCTGAGCCCAAGAAAGGTGGGAACTCTTCACGGAGGGGAGCCTATCAGCTCCTCCCACAAGGAAAGTCCTTAGGTTGCTGGATGCCTCCATTCCCTGGGGTTCTATTGACTTGAGCACAGGAGACAGAAACAAGAACCAGCTCTGGAATAAACTCTGAGAAGGAGCTGGCCACCTTCACAGGGGGTTCTCTAAGGTTCTGATTACCTTCCTTCTGGCATGCTGCAGGTATGAGGGCTGCTGACCAGGGGTGCAGCTTCTATTAGGAGGAGGAGGAGGAAGAAAGGGAGCAGATGAGTCAGCAAGCCAGTTCCTCCAGGGGGCAGGGGAGATAATCCTATTGTCAGATTCCAGGCTCTCCCTTCCCTCTCCAGACCGATTCTGTGATAGCACCTGGTCATTTTCTTCCCACGCTTTCCCACAGTCTGTGTTTACTTTGTCAGTTCGAATACTTGTTTGTAATCTATCTCCCCCTCCAGATCAGTGGCTCTCAGACTTTAATGGGCATCAAAATTCCCTGAAAGGCTGATTAAAAACAAAGCTCACTGGGTCCCACCTCTAGAGTTTCTGATAGAAACTCTATCAGAAGTTTAGGTTAGTGGATAGAGTTGGGAATTTCAGGTTCCAGCATCCTCCCCTGGAGGTCATGGTGATGATCATGGTTGGGTGACCTATAATTTTAATAATCTAGGGTGGCCTGAGAATTTGCATTTCCCATCAGTTTCCAGGTGGTACTGATTCTGCTGGTCTAGGGACGACGGCACTTGGAGAACCATTGGCCTATACCATCATCTTCCTGAGAGCAGGGATCATTTTTGACTTGTCTGCTAAAGTGACGGGCACACTATAGGCATTAAATCGATATTTGTAGATTGGATGAATTGTTTTTGGAATGGAGGTGGGGTGTAGAGCACAGATTGGCATGTGAGACTCTTCAAAAGATGTGGAAAAGAGCACCCAGCAGCAAGTAATCTAATTTCATGGACATAGACTTGCAAAGACTCATCTGAATGAGCAGAGAGGAGTTGTGAAAGTAGCAGCTGGCAGCATGCCCATGAAAATCAGCTCCTGTGCCACAAGCCACATGGATCTCTCACAGGTCACTGCACAAACACCCAGTCTTCTCTACCAGAACAGGAAAAGTGAGTGGTTTTATGAGTCTGAGGTCTCACCAGATTTTTGCCACCCTGTAGCTACTCCCGCCCAGCCCATGGCTGCCATTTTCAGCAACATCGTAATACCTTAACTCTTTTCAGTCCACCCCACATATCTCCAGGGGGGAAAGAAGTCCCTCAATGTGACTCACGAGGGAACGTGACTGGGGATTCCAGGTCCTAAAGGCCTTACCCTGGGGGTTGTGGTGATGACCGTGGTCGGGTGCGGAATGACTTTAATACTCAGTGTCACCGTTCCTGTCTCAACGAGAGCCTCGGCTTTCTTCCTACCGGACAGCAAGTTGTCATCAGTTACGTAGACAAGTAGCTTGTAGTCCCAGATCTTATCAAGCCCACCAGCATAGTCAAAGCGAGACATAAGCAGCAGGCGTGTGACGTTGGAACCAGCATTGGGTGAGAAGGTGAAATGATTGTTGATGTTGCCTAATGAGATTTGATGCAGGGGTGTTGGTAAAAAGAAGCAAAGAGAGTAAGAAATAAAGGTTTAGAAGAAAACTGCATTCAATCATTCTCTCAAATTTCCACACCTCAGGTGTAGACTATATCTCTGATATACCAGAGCTGGATTAATTATATGCTATAGGCTTTAACTGCACCAGAGATGGCGTTAGTACAAAGAAACCCTTGCTCACCACCAGCGTGGCTGCAAACGGCGTGAGTAGAAAAGGACAATAGGACAACATCCTTAGCCTAGTACCATCTTGCTGAGTATTAAGCAGAGACTTTGTAACCCTGCTGCAGCCCCTTCTGATTTATCATCCAGCAATTATTTGGTAACAACATGTGTAATTCACACTTAGACAAATGAGTGGGCATCAAGATGGTGGAATAGGTCACATCCCTAGCCATGGACCAAGTTCACTACATGCTTTTCACAAGACCCAGTGGGTCACACTGGTTATGGATGTCCCTGGAGTCCCCCAAAGGAAGGTGCCTCCTGGCTTTGCAGGAATTGCAGCCCCAGGTCCTCCTGAATCCACCCCATCACACCCCCAAACACACACGCAGCTCTGCTGAGGCTCATGGCTCAGCTCAGGGAGCCTGGGGCAGAGAGGCTGTCAGCCCAAGCACACGCCTGCTCATTCCTCCACTGGCTCCAGACTCATTACCGACTGAACACCAGTAAATGGAGCAGGAGATGATGCAATTTTTGTTCCCTTAGCAGCAAAATGCTCCATAAAGGCCTTAGGGCTCTCAGTATGGATTATTTCCATCTTCGGCAACTGCAGTCTCGAGGCAGTTTCTGCCCCTGGGTTTTGTGACACAGCCAGCTTGAGAGGCTTCCTACTGTTCGAGTTCCTGCTCCGCCAAGGGCACAGCAGGCAGCAGGATGGGTTTTTACTCTCACGTGGAATTGTTCTGCCTGTTTGGGTTTAAATCTCTGGCCCCAGCACTTCATTAGATGAGCTATTTTGGTCTAATTTCCATTGAGGGGTGCACTTTTTTCCCTACAATGGTATATTTTTAAAGAGAGAAGATGAATGGAGCAGAAGAGAATTCCTGAGGACACATTTCAAAACGCACTTAATCTATTTAATCTATTATTATCCAGAGAGAGGACTGGGATTCCCTGCCCCCACTACAGGCTTTCAGGAAAAGAGGTGGTCAAAAAGTTGGACTGAATTTTTTCTAATGACACTAACATGCTTTATGACTCATACTGTAGTCAGGAATTGGGGGTGGGGTTCACCCATTTCTTGGGACTTTGGGCAGTTACGTATGGGGGTCTGTAGGAGTGAGGAGAGAAAGGGAAACCGAGAGGAGCGCTAGGAAGCATAGGGGCCGCTAGACTCTGTATCTATGCTTTCCTCATTCAAATACTTCCCCAGCAAGCTGGGCGCAGTGATATGCACTCGTAGTCCCAGCTACTTGTGAGGCTGAGCAGGAGGATTACTTGAGCCAGGCGTTCAGGACTAGCCTGGGCAACATAGTGAGACCCCCCATCTCAAAAAAAAAAATGTCTTCCCTACTCCCATCCCACTTTGCCCAGATCAGTGTGTGAGCACAGAGCCCCACCCTGGACAATATCAGGGTCCTCAGAGACAGGGCCAGGGTCATCGACACCGAGTGCTATACCTGCGCCAATGGAGTAGCGGAAAGATCTGGGGCTGGAATCAAGGTCAGTACACGTCAGCTTGAAATTCTGAATATTCGTGCCAACTTTCAGATCCACTGGGAGGGCCAGGAAATAAGAGTTTGGAGTACAAATTGGCTTCTCATCATTTTCTTCAAGGATGTTCACGGTAACCTAGAGCAGCAAGAAGGTAGTTGGTCATTCTCAACAGCTAAGACTTATTGCGTGCTTACTGCATGTAGGCAGTTTTCAGTCTAAGCACTTTTCCTAGATTAGCTCATTTAAACTCAAGTGAGATAGATGACATGATTATTCCCATTTTATGGATGAGAAAATTGAGGTTTAGAGAGACTAGGTAATTGACCTAAGATCACTCAGCTAGTGAATGGCATAGCTGGGACTTGAACTCAGGTCTTTCCTACTCCAAATCCAATGTTATTAACTCCTACACTGTGTGCATGTGTGTGTGCACATGTATACATATACCTCGCCCTCTACACACACGTGCATGCGCCTGGACACATAGGCTCACTGGCAAATAATACTGAATTATTTTTCCAGGAAGGCGCGAGTTTACGGTGACTCCATGTGCTTCCTTGCCTGCTGCCACTTGTGAATTGGAAGTTTTTTTTTGGAGACAGAGTCTCGCACTGTCACACCCGGGCTGGAGTGGTGCTGTGGTGCAATCTCAGCTCACCGCAACCTCTGCCTCCCGAGTAGCTGGGATTACAGACGCCCGCCACCATGCCTGGCTAATTTTTTGTATTTTTAATAGAGATGGGGTTTCACAACGTTAGCAACACTGGTCTCGAATGCCTGACCTCGTGATCCAACCCCCACTGGGCCTCCCAAAGTGCTAGGATTACAGGTGTGAGCCACCGCACCTGGCCTGTAATTGGAAGTTCTTTAACTCCGGCATACACAGAAATGGTTCTCAAGCCTGGCTCTGCTTGCTTGGGCCCACTTCAGATTAAATAGATTGGACTCTCTGGAGGATGGGGCCCAGGGCCTTCATGTATGTTCCCCAGCTGATTCCAGTATGCAGCAGGGCTAAGACCCACTGGGACAGAACAAGCAGGCCTGGTTAAACTAGGATGTCATCTGTGACCTGGGCTATTAGCACTGTACTAAGCCCTAGGGCTAACCTGCCACAAGCAGGGGCCAGTCTATTTTCTTTCATCACGGTCTTTTATGCCTGGTGAACGGGAATACAGCCTGGGATGCCTGCCAGCACAGAATCGTACAATGGCAGCCCTGAAAGGGACTTGTGTGATCATTTAGTTCACCACCCTTTTTTAAAAGCTTATGAATTTTGAGTCATGTTCATGCTACCTTTGAAATTTGGGATTTCAGCTATTTCTGAGCCTGGGAATAAATGGAAATGTTCACTCTAGTTAGCTCCCAAAGTGAAGTCCATTCATTTTTCTCAAAAAAAAAAAAAAAAAAAAAAACCCAGCCTAACAAACACTGCAATTATCTCCAACTTTCCTTGGTAGCAATGCCAAATCTTGCACATCATTAAAAGCATCATCCCATTAATTCAGAGCAAGCCATTGGAGGAGCCAGACTGTTCAGCACTGGGTTGTCGGGTGACTCTTCATTTAAGAGACGGAGAAATAGGGACACAGAGATAAGCATTGCTCAGACTCCCTTGGAAAATTGGGATCAAAGTTGAGAAATGAACTCGGTCTCCTGACTCTGAACCAATCTTTGTCGATGGCTGCCTGCTGCTGAGAGTTCATTTTGCCTTCATGCTCTTTTTCTTTACTAATGGGAAGGACCAGGGAATAGTTCGGTCTTTGTGGTTGTCATGTTGCCCTTGGATCATCCAAACCAGACAACACGGACCTATTAGACCCTTGCAACTCGAGGTGTGGCAGAGAACCAGCAGCACTGCCCCAGTTGGAAGCATGGCAGAAATGTAGAATCCCAGGCCCCTGACGCACTGACTCCGAGTCTGCATAAACAAGATTCTCAGCATCAAAGGTTGGGAAGCAGGCTAGCAGCTCAGCAACGGTTTTAAGATCTACCCCATCTGCTGTGTGTGGGGGCGGGGTAGGAACACAGCATAACTGCTCCTGGGGAGGAAACGTTTAACTCCAAAACCACACTCAGCTTCTGGGCAGTGCGCATTTCACCACCATCCTTCAGTGAAGGCAAAGCGGGATTTAAAGGGCCACAAGAGGAACCTCGTCCCACAAAGTGGCTTTGTGGGTCCACCAGACATTCCAATATCTGGCCACCAATTTCAGTGTTTCTTTCTGTCACCCACAAACTTAGTCCTCAAAAACATGGGGGGTTGGGTGCAGTGGTTCATGCCTATAATCCTAGCACTTTGAGAGGCTGAGGCAGGTAGATTACTTGAGGTCAGGAGTTCGAGACCAGCCTGGCCAACGTGGTGAAACCCATCTCTACTAAAACTACAAAAATTAGCAGGGCAAGGTGGCGCACACTTGTAATCCCAGCTACTTGGGAGGCTGTGGCACAAGAAGCACTTAAACCCAGCCCAGGAGGTGGAAGTTGCAGTGGGCCAAGACTACACCACCATACTCTAGCCTGGGCAACAGAGCGAGACTCTGTCTCAAAGAAAAGAAAAACACGGATCTTTATTTCCCAGGGCACCTTTACTTGTTTCCCACCACTTCCACAGGATGTGCCCTGGGAAGTTTCCTCACTGCCGCATCCACACCCTGGGGGTGCCGGAGAGACCCGAGGTCAACCAATTGGGTTAGAGGCACTATACCCAGCAGCCCCACTCACAGTGACGGAGCTTGTGTCCTCGCTGTTGGTGGCCTGGATTCTGAGAATATACACGGGGGTTGTTTCATAGTCCACTTTAGTAATCAGCTGGAGTTCTCCTGTCTTGGGATTAATCCAAAATACATTCGGGTACTGGAGGCTGGCCCCTCCAGTGGAGATGGAGTACACGAGGCTGCTCTGAGGGAGGTCTTTATCAGCGGCTCGCACCTGTCCCACTCGGGTTCTGGCTGGAGGAATAAAGTAACTGCAGTAAGTTCTGCTTTTAGCGGGTAGGGAAGGATGATCCAGGAACAGATGTCCTCACTGCCATGGGCAGAAGGACTTCTGGAGGCCTCCTTGCTGTCCAAACTCTGTTTTATATCTTCAATTCTACTAAATTGAAATCATGCTAACCAGCACCCACCAGGTAACTGACCCTATGATCCAAGCAGTCCTGTGAGGTGTACTAGACAATTTACGCCCCTCCCTTTTTTTATTGAAATGGAGTCTCACTTACTCTGTCTCCCAGGCTGGAGCTCAGTGGTGCAATCTCAGCTCACTGCAACCTCCACCTCCTGGTTTCAACCAATTCTCCTGGCTCTGCCTCCCAAGTAGCTGGGATTACAGGTGCCCGACAACACACCCAGCTAATCTTTTTGTATTTTTAGCAAAGATGGGGTTTCACCAAGTCAGCCAGGCTGGTTTTGAACTCCTGACCTCAAGTGATTCACCTGCCTTGGCCTCCCAAAGTGCTAGGATTATAGGGGTGAGCCACCTCACCCAGCAATTTGTGCCTTTATATAGACTCCAGGGACACCAATCATTTTGCTCTCATAAACAATAGTGCCAAGAACGTACATCCTCACACAAACATCTCTTTGCTGCAGTGTTGTCTAAAAGGCCCGTATGTTTCAATTTTCTGTAATGAGCATGAATTGCTCTTATAAAAATAAACAATTTTGAAATAATTTAGCAATTGGTGATTACAGTTTATAGATTTTTAAATCCTCTTCCATTTTGCTAATTTTACAAATACAGTTGGTGGGGCTGCTAGCATTCTGGCTTGCTTGTTTTATAGGAGTTCCTTCCCATAAACTACATTCCTCAAGGGCAGAAACCTTCTCTTGTTCCATTCCAGATCCCAGCACTAAGTGTGTGACCCAAAGTAGGTGATCAAAGAGAACTGTAGCAAGATCTGTGAGTTCACGAAAGCCTGTTCCTTTCTGATTTGCTATTCACTGAATAAAGTATAAGAAATTAAAAGCATTTTCTTTGGACCTTCATTTTGCATTTTGCTTGAAAACTTAATGTCAGGAAATGGAGACCATGTTGAAGAGAATGGATCATTTGAGAGGGAGTGTTTTGGTTCTGGTTTGATTTGTTGTTGTTGTTTTTAATATGAAAAAAGTATCCAAAGGCTGTGGGGAGTCTATTACACGAGAGCATTTACAGTATTATCTTCAAGCTTAGAGAGCAAAAGAGAGGCAGACAGTGAAGCTGGAAGTGGGGAGTGAGTCTTCTCCTTAATGGGGAAAGAGTCTGCAAAAAGCAGGGTGTCATAAAGGGTAGAAAAGAAGGCCTCCAGTGAATCCTAGCAGGAGAGAGAGAAATTGTCTTTGTTTGTAAATGAAGGAAATACGGAAATGGGAAACCTTTTCTCTGTTGTTAAATTTTAAGTCTCTGGGTGAGCTGGATAAAACTCACAGTGGAGACCAAGAGAAAACTTAAGCTTTGAAAAGGGAGGATTAGCAGAATTGGGCAAACAGACAAGGAAGAATCAGAGGCTTCCAAGAAAGGCAACAGTTTTCAAAAGTCCAAGTTTCACCTGAAGGCCTCCTTAGCAGCAAGGATAATTTAAAAGAAATAAGAGGTGCAATAAATACTAATCAGCTGTGAATCACTGTGCAAAACAGCACAGGAGGCCTCCAGAAGGGAGCTTTCCACTCCAAAGAACACGCGTTTGGACACAGTCCATCAAGAGCACTGTGGTCTGTGACTTTGTGACTTACCTGGTCTTCTTTCTGACACAGAAAATACATAGGATGGCCTATCAAAAATGATAGGAAACTCATTTTCTGGGCTTGTTAGAATATAAATGTAGATGTTATCTAAAAATGGAGATAGAAACACATTAAATCACAAGTTCATGCTCATCCATTTGTTTATTCAACATCTTTAAAGAATCTCCTGTGTACAGGCTCTGTGCATAGGGGATACCAGGTGACTAAGCTCTGGGAACTCATGCCTTTTAGATGCTGAGGGTGGTCACTTTTTGATAAGCACATGAGCACACAGGGCACTGCAGAACCCAGAGGAGGAGCAGCTTCCAGAAGAAAGTACAAGCTGAGCCTTACAAGGATAGAATTAGGAGATTGGCGGGGTGTTGTAGGCATATACAAAAATGCCAAGGTATAAAACCACATAATTCACTCAGGAAAACTTCAAGCTGTTTGCCCCGTTGGAAAAAAATGATGGCTTGGGCCAAGGGAGGTGGCTCACACCTGTAATCCCAGCACTTTGAAAGGCCAAGGTGTGCAGATCATGAGGTCAATGATTTGAGACCAGCCTGATCAACATGGTGAAACCTTGTCTCTACTAAAAATACAAAAATGAGCTGGGCGTGGTGGCACGTGCCTGTAATCCCAGCTACTTGAGAGGCTGAGGCAGAAGAATCGCTTGAACCTGGGAGACAGAGGTTGTGAAGAGCTGAGATCGCGCCACTGTACTCCAGCCTGGGCAAGAAAGTGAGTCTCCATCTCAAAAAAAAAGGTTGGTGGGGGGCTTCGAGGCAAGTGACAGAAGGTGAAGCTGGAGAATTAAGGGGCAACAAATGAAGAAAATTCTCGTATGCCAGGCCCAAGAGTTGGTACTTGAACTTGACAGCTACAGGAGATGCTCGAAGGCTTTAACCAAGGAAGTAATATGATGACATTTGCACTTCCTGAAAAATCATTGACAGAAATATGGAGATGCATTGGAAAGTGGTGAAGGTAGGGAGACCCTTCAAAGACCTTTAAGTGTTGTAATTCAGTCCCTGGGAGAGAGCAGTACTAGTGAGATGGGGGACCTAGTACACTACCTAGTATTGCCCAGCAGAGTTTAGTCATTGATAAGGAAGACACTCATGAAATAAAACAAAATGATACTTGCTTTTATAGTGAGGGGCCCCCACATCCTGCACCTGGATTATCACCATGTATTTATTGCCGGCTGCTAGATTACTTGGATTTTCATAATCTAGGTCACCAATCAGCTAGATTAAAACAGAGATGGTAGATTATACAGATTAAACAATCCTATTTATTGGTCTGAGAGAGACATTTTCAAATATCGCTAGTGGATATGTAAATTGGCAAAACACTTTTGGAAAACACCTTGCCCATAAAAATGAGGAGCTTTAAAAAGTTACGACCATACCTTTGCTCACTGCTAGCGAACTTGTTGAAATAATTTACCAGGAGAGAGAATCTATGTACAAATATGTTCATTAAGCACTACTGCTCAACAGCACAGAATCAGAACTTCAGATTCATTGAAGAAAAGCACAAAATTGAATCTTATATGCAGGGCTGTTTCGTCATAGCAGTCCCTCCTTATTATCTGTGGTTTTACTTTTGACAGTTTCAGTTACTTACAGTCAACCGCAGTCTGAAAATAGTGAGTACAGTGCTATATTTTGAGAGAGAGAAACACACCCACATAACTGGATTTCTTTATTCTTCTTTAGAGATAGAAGTCCCCTTTGTTGCCCAGGCTGGTGTGCAGCGGCTATTCACAGGTGTAATCATAGCTCACTGCAGCCTCAAACTTGTGGCCTCAAGTGATCCTCCCATCTCAGCCTCCCAAGCAGCTGGGACTGTGGGTGTGCATCACCATGTATGCCACATAACTTTTGTGATAGTATTTTGTTATAATTTTTCTATTTTATTGTTCGATATTTTTGTGAATACTTACTGTATCTAATTTATAAATTAAACTTACTATAGGTATCTATATATATAAGGAAAAAACATAATATATGTGGGGTCTGGTACTGTCTGTGGTTTCAAGCATCCACTAGGGGTCTTGGAACATATCCCTGTGGGTAAGGGGGCACTACTGTATTTTGAATACTTATGCTGGCTGGGCACGGTAGCTCATGCCTAGAATCCCAGCACTTGGGGAGGCTGAGGTGGGAGGACTGCCTGAGACCAGGAGTTTGAGACCAGCTTGGGCAAGACAGCAAGACCCCATCTCCACAAAGAACTAAAAAATTAGCCAGGCATGGTAGTGCATTCCTGTATTACCACCTGTTAGGGAGGCTGACATGTGAGGATCACTTGAACCTAGGAGTTTGAGGCTCTGTTGAGCTATGATTGCCACACTGCACTCCGGCCTGGGTGACAGAGTGAGATGTAGTGTCTTAAAAAAATAAATAAAAATAAAAAATACTTATGCATATATGTAGAAAATACACATAAAATATATCTACGGAAAAAAGTCAAGAGGGAAATGTACCAAACTATTAACACTGGTTAGCAGTAAATGGTGATGCTTTTCTGTGCTTTTACATTTTCTACAGTGAACATGTATTAATTTCCTAAACAGAAAAAAATAGAAGTTATTTTTAAGATGGTACGATGAAAAAGTCGGTGAGATGTACTTGGGGATTGAAGAAGGGTTTGGGGTGTGAGGTGGAGAAGAAAGCACCGTGAGGGGAGGGTAGCAGGCAGCTGGCTTCCCTCCCTGTGGCTGCCGCTTTCCCAGCCCTTCCGTTTTTCTCTTCTCCTTCCCCACCAGCCTCCAGCAGAAGCTCTGTAAGGAAACGTCTAACTCAACTCATTGGGACCCACTTTTCATGCCCATCTTTCTTCCAATGCAGCGTTTGTCCCTTGGAGTTGCCCGCCCAGGGGCTCCCTATACATCCTCGCTGTCTCCCTCTCCTCTGGTCTCCAGTGGTTCCACGGTATGGAGTTTACCCGGACACGCTCAAGGCCTGGCCCTGCTTTCTCTCACCTCACACCTCTATGGGCCAGGAATGAGCACTCAAATAAACAAAAGTGCCTGAGCACAGAGGGCACTGATGTGTCTGTGAAGGCACACTAGGCAGGCACACAACTGCGTGCTACCCGAGGAAGAGTCCAGTCCTTAGCAGCCCGGGAACAACTATGTGTAACAAACGATTCCTGGAACGGGGTTAGAATAAAGAGCGAATGGAGAACACAGACTCACTATTAAGCCTGTCAGTTACAGTCGCTCTGAGAGGGGGTTACCTTGGAAATTTCTCTCTATGGGGCAGCAAAAGCACGATGCATGTTGGACCAATTCCCGGTGCCCTTTTAATGATGCAACGACCATTAACTGACCACAATTTTCCCAGAGCCAGCTGGATCCTGTGAAAACCTGCCGCCGCTCCCCACTCCAGATGGCGTGGTGAAGTTGAATCTGTTGTTTGGTGCCTCACTGTCATCATCAAAGCAGAAATTGTTCAGGTCAAGAAGCAACGTCCCGTTGGCTGTTCTTTCCGGCACCATCATGCTGGTGAAAAGACACAATTCAGTATATCCCCCAACAAATAGTGATGGAGTGTTTCTTCTCACATGGGTCCTGGGCTAGACCTCTCTGCTTTCACTGTAATTCGAAGTAAGACCATGGTCACGGCAGTCACCTCCTAACTGGTCTCTCTGATTCCGCCCTTGCTGCCTTTTGGGCTATTTTAAACACAGCAGCCAGAGGGATCCTGTTAACCCAGTGTCAGATCATGTCACTCCTCTGCTCCTAAGTCCCAAATGGCTCCTCATTTCACACAAAGTCCCACCTTTGATCTTTAGGACCCTTCGTGATATGCCCGCCTTTTCCTCTCTGAACATCGCCCACTAGTTCTTCTCCTTGTTCACTCTCCTCCTGCCACTCTGGCCTCCTGATGCTCCCTGAACTCTTCAAGAGGCTCTGGCCTCAGTGTCACTGCACTCACTCTGGAATCCTCTCCCCACAGATACCCACATGGCTCCCACTTTCACTTGCTTTCGTCTGTCTAATCAAATGTCACCTTATCAGTGAGGCTACCCTATCTAGAATGGCAGTGATCCCTGGCTGGTGCTTCCTTTCCTGTTCCCCTCTTTATTTTTAATTCTTAACACACATCATCATCTGATACACCGTTCTGTTTATTGTCTATTTCCTTCCTAGAAAGTAAACTCTATGAGGGCAAGGATCTTTGCATTTTTCTTGGCACACTCAATAAATATTGGTTGAGTGAATGAAAAATAGACTTATAAGACTAGCACAGACATGAAGAAGAATGTAAGAAGAAAAGTACAAATTTTACCTCCTGCCTGAAGGAGTTTCTAATTAGGCTAGGGCAAATCCCTGTACCCCTCGTCTCCCATGCTTTGAAGATGGAGAATTCCTTGACTTGTGTTCTAGTGGCTTCAATGGCCTAGAAGGGCCTCCTAACACCTTTATATTATTCATTCAAAAGAGGTTTATTAATGGTCAAATGTGGGTGTCTCAATCTCAGTAGACTCCAGGGTTTAGGTGAATAACACAAATGAGTAAAGCTACCCCCGAACTTAGAGCCTTCTAATGAAGCCCAGCTTTTGTGGGAGGTTCTGAGGAAGACTAATGAACACCTTGAGGTTTCAGTTCATTGAAAGCCTTTCTCATGTCTCCACATTTCACTTTCTTCGTCTATAAAATGGACATAAATGATATCAATTAGTTTTTACTACAGAATGCACCATCCCCAAACTGAGTGAATTAAAACAACACGCATTTATTCTTTCTCACAGTACTATAGGTTTTCCCACAGTCCTTCTGGTTTTAGTTTCGCTCAGGTGGTCTCTGTGATCACTGACAGCTTGGCTGGGGCTTGAGAGTCTAGGATGGACTCACACGCCTGGAGGTGGGAAGGTGCTTGGTTTCTGCTTCTTCTTGTTCTTGTCTTCTAGAAGGCCAGTCTAGGCTCATTGCACGGAGGGCTCTGGCTTCCCAAAGTAACAAGAGAGGGCAAGTTCCGATGCACATGCATTTTTCCAGCCTCTGTCGTACCATGTTTGTGAATGCTCCAGTGGTCAAAGGAATTCAGATGGTCAAGCTCAGATTCAAGGAGACCCACCTCTTCTTTTGAGACGGAGTTCTGCTGTTGCTGCCCAGGCTGGAGTGCAACGGTGCGATTTCAGCTCACCACCACCTCCGCCTCCTGTGTTCAAGTGACTCTCCTGCCTCAGACTCCCAAGTAGCTGGGATTACAGGCATTTGCCACCACACCGGGCTAATTTTAAATTTTTAGTAGAAACTGGGTTTCCCATGTTGGTCAGGCTGGTCTTGACTCCTGATCTCAGGTGATCTGCCCGCCTCAGCCACCCAAAGTGCTGGGATTACAGGCGTGAGGCACTGCGCCCACCAAGACCCAACTCTTGCTGGAGGGAATAGCAAAATCACATTGCAAAGGAGCATGCATACAGAGCAGACAGGGAGGAATTTGTGGCTTTTTTTTTCTTTTTTGCTTGTTTTGCCTACCTATCTCAATCATATTTTGCCTTGGTAGAATTTCTTACAAAAATATATCATGGCTGTCATGAGAGTGTGCCTGGAAGACCTCCAACCACGAGGGCATAACTGACCATCGGCTTCAGCTGCTGGGCTCTGAAATCCACCACTGTGTTTAGGGTGAGGCCACATACCAACAACTGGTCATGGCAAAGATACTAAGGTTTATTCCTGTCCTATGTCAGCTGACCCTGGCTCCAGGACCCCCAGTGGCCTAGCTGAACACTCCTCAGATGGCATGGCAGCCTAGAACATGTCCATCTACCTTCCCTCCCTCTTTTCTTTCACCCAGGTCAGCCTTGCGTCATGATCTGATGACTTGCCCAGCCGTGTCCATCTTTCTCCCCATTTTCTGCCACAGGCATCTCCCCTAATAATAGCCTTACACATTTAATCCCATCTTAGCATCTGGTTCTTGGAGCACACACTTCTCCCTGCAACCAAACTCTGCCCCCTTCTATGTTCCACATCCTCTTTTCATGGCAGATAAAATGGGCTCTGGGCTCAGTGCAGACGGCGCAAAGTCTGACAGCAAGGATGGTCATGGGCCACTGAGGATAACAGGTTTGCTGCCTGGAGTGAAAACAGGCATAATGGAGTCTCCATGATGCCTCATTGGCAAAGAGCACCTCTGTATTTCAGCAGGATTGGAGTCTGAGCATTCCTGCCTTTATTGCACAACGTGGTTGCATTCATAGGGACTTAGAATAGATACCAACTTACTAAACACCAGCTTCATGCTGTGTCATACCAAGCACTTTAAAAACACTATCTCTAATTTCCTCATGTCAGAGAGGTTTGTATTCTTGTCGCCACCGCACAGGGGAAGAAAGAGTGGTTCCAAGCAGTTTCCCGGCCTGTCCAGGAAAGTGGATATATCCAGACACGATCCTCTGCAATGTAAGAGTCCCTGTAAGCTTGAACTTCCATTGATAAGTATCCAGGCTCACAGATGGTTTGGGGATCTAAGCCTTGATTTCAGCTCTGCAGAAGCCAGAAGATTGCATCATTTAAAGAATCCAAGGTCCTGAAGCCAGACATTTCAGGAACTCCAACCCTTCACTTGGCCCCCCAGGGCTGCTTGGCCTGTCCTCTCATTCATCCCTGACACTTGGTGTTTTTCCCCTACACGCCTAACTTGGAAAGCCACTCCCCTCATTCAGCAATCCCTGCCTCAAATGCAGGCTGCCCTCTTCCCAGCCATCAGACCATGTTTCTCTCCCACGCAAGGTGACTGTGTCCAGCCCACTCCGAATCAGCCAAACTGCTCCGCCTCTTGCTCACAAACAGCTTGCGAAGTACATTCAGCGAAGCACCTAACAATTTACAACCAGAATGGGGGCTGTCACTGTGCCTCGGATGCCTCCTTGGGGCTCTGGGCTCATTCATCATTGGCCTGGGAAAGCCGCGGGGGCCTCGGCGCGAAGAACTGGGAGCCTGCAGGGGCCCGCACGGGCAGCAGGGGGCGCCCGCCTCCTCCAGGCCGCCCTCTTCACCGCCGGAGTGTGGCACGCGACCTCCAGCAGCTGCGCTGACCCCACCCGCTCTGCCACCTGCTCTCACGAACTCCCCAGCAGGGCCACGCCCATAGCCAACGAAGAAGGAACAAACGTTCAGGAACAAGTGTCAGATCCCGTGGCAGCACCACTGCTATTGTAGCTTTGTTCTGTTTTGACCTGCTTGTGTGCTTGCTCTGACATAATAGGACTGGAGAAGGTATAAGGCTGGAAGGATGGCAGGTGCTGCAGGCCAGGGCCTCTCGGCCCTCTCTGCACCTGTCCTTATGCAGACTTGGGATGCGGGGCTGGGCTTTTAGACCTCGCCCCTGGGACTGCAGAGGAAGGGTCCCTTTTGTTGCCCTGCCTCACAAATTGGCATTCATAGTGTTGTTGAGAATTCCTCCCACTAGAAGAGCCCAGAAAAGGGACTTGAGCCCTGGTTAGATTGTCTTCAGTAATAAATGCAATTACTCCAGTTACAGATTTCACAATGGCCTTCAAAGCTAATCTGGAGGGAAGATTATCAAGAGCAGGACTCTGGGCTTGCCTGGACAGTCTAGGATATTCGAATTGTGGATTCACCAGCTAATATGGAACACAGTCTGCAAACTGTCTTTCCATACCCCAGGGGGCTCTGGACTGCAGGAAGCCAAATATACACTTAACAGATATGCACTGAAGGGAGAAAGTGGGCAAGGAAGGTTTGAGACAGCACACCCCTCTCCAGGCATTCTCACTTCTTAATCTTTACCCCCTACCTCTTAGGGCAGAAGAACAAGGAAGAGCAGGAGAGTGGAAGAGGGCAGGAGCTTCCCAGGATGTACAGGAACTGCCCAAGAGTGCTAGCAGATTTAAAATGTCAAAGAAAGCATAAGTGTGATGCTACAAATCATCTCTACTCCATCCCCAGGCCCCAGACATCTCTCAGCAGAGGGTGGGTTCAATTTATGCATGTAAAGGTGTGGAAGATAGAATTCTAACTACGCTTGCAGCTGTCCCCACCCATCTAATGGACTGTAGGGCTCAGGTTGGGATAGGAACCTAGCACGTGCTCAAGATTGTGACTGACATTATCGGGGTGTCAGCAGGAAGCAGCTGGTGAATTAGGATCATTCTAGGAGGGGTTAGTAAAGGGACTAAGAAGAAGGTGCTCACTCACAGGGTATATGGAAATCTCAAGGAACAATGCAATATCTCAGAGCTCGAGAGTGAAGCACGCTTACCACCTCTAGGCCCAGGGGAACCAGTGGAGGGAACAGGTCCTGCTGCCAGGGACAGAGAGCTGCCTATGGGAATGGAGACCTTCAGGCAGGGGAGGAGTGCATCCAGCTCACAAGGAGAAAGCCTGGCCCTACCCTTTCCCCCTTCCAGGATTCCCCATTGGCCAACCAGAAGCTGGAAGGCAAGGGAGCTAGTTGGTGTCTGATATGGTTTGGCTGTGTCCTCACCCAAGTCTTAACTTGAATTCCCACATATGATAAAAGGGACACAGTGGGAGGAAACTGAATCATGGGGGCAAGTCTTTCTTGTGCTGTTCTCATGATAGTGAATAAGTCTCACCAGATCTGATGGCTTCATAAGGGGGAATTTCCCTGCACAAGCTCTCTCTCTCTTTGCCTGCACCATCTATGTAAGACATGACTTGCTCCTCCTTGCCTTCTGCCATGATTATGAAGCTTCCCCACACATGTGGAACTGTAAGTCCATTAAATCTCTTTCTTTTGCAAATTGCCCAGTCTCAGGTATGTCTGTATCAGCAGTATGAAAACAGACTAATCCAGTAAATTTGTACCAGTAGAGAGGAGCACTGCTGTAGATACCTGAAAATGTAGAAGTGACTTAAAAATGGGTAATAGACAGGGATTGGAACAGTTTGGAGGGCTCAGAAGAAGATAGAAAAATGTGGGAAAGTTTAGAACTCCCTAGAGACATGTTGAATGGCTTTGACAAAAATGCTGATAATGATATGAACAATGAAATCTAGACTGAGGTGATCTCAGATGGAGATGAGGAACTTGTTGGGACTGGAGCAAAGGTGACCCTTGTTATGTTTTAGCAAAGAGACTGGCAGCATTTTGCCTCTGCCCTAGAGATTTGTAGAACTCAGAACTTGAGAGAGATGATTTAGGGTATCTGGTAGAAGAAATTTCTAAGCAGCAAAGCATTCAAGAAGTGACTTGGGTGCTATTAAAGGCATTCAGTTTTATGAAGGAAGCAGAGCATAAAAGTCTGGAAATTTTGCAGCCAGACAATGCAAGAGAAAGGAAAATCCCATTTTCTGAAGAGAAATTCAAGCCAGCTGCATAAATTTGCATAAGTAACAATGAGCTGAATGTTAATCACCAAGACAAGGGGGAAGATGTCTCCAGGGCATGTCAGAGACCTCTGTGGCAGCCCCTCCCATCACAGGCCCAGAGGTTTAGGGGTAAAAAATGGTTTTATGGCCTGGGCCCAGGGTCCCTCTGTTGCGTACAGAAGAAGACAGAAAAATGTGCAGCTTAGGGACTTGGTGCCCTCCATCCCAGCCACTCTAGCATGAGTGACTAAAAGGGGCCAAGGTATAGTTCAGGCTATTGCTTCAGAGGGTAGAAGCAACACCTTGCCAGCTTCCGCATGGTGTTGAGACTGCACAGAAGTCACGAATTAAGATTTGGGAACCTCTGCATAGAAGAGGATGTATGGAAATGCCTGGATGCCCAGACAGAAGTTTGTTGTAGCGGAATGGGGTGGGTGGCACTCATGGAGAACCTCTGCTAGGGTAGTACAGAAGGGAAATGTGGGGTTGGAGTCCCCACACAGAGTCCCTACTGGGGCACTACTTAGTGGAGCTGTGAGAAGGGGGCCACTGTCCTCCAGACACCAGAATGGTAAATCCACTGACAGCTTGCACCATGCACCTGGAAAAGCCACAGACACTCAATGCTAGCTCATGAAAGCAGCTGGGAGGGAAGCTGTACCCTGCAAAGCCACCGTGGCGGGGCTACCCAAGACCATGGGAACCCACCTCTTGCATCAGCATGACCTGGATGTGAGACATACAGTCAAAGCAGATCATTTTGGAGCTTTAAGATTTGATTCCCTGCTTGATTTCAAATTTGCATGGGGCTTCTAGCCCCTTCATTTTGGCCAATTTCTCCCACTTGGAACAGCTGCATTTACCCAAAGCCTACATCCCCATTGTATCTAGAAAGTAACTGATTTGCTTTTGATTTTACAGGCTTATAGGCAGAAGGGACTTGCCTTGTCTCTGATGAGACTTTGGAATGTGGACTCTTGAGCTAATGCTGAAATGAGTTAAGACTTTGGGTGACTGCTGGGAAGACATGATTGGTTTTGAAATGTGAAAACATGAGCTTTGGGAAGGACTGGGGCAGGATGATATGGTTTGGCTGTGTCCCCACCAAAGTTTCATCTTGAATTCCTACATGTCATAGGAGGGACCTGGCAGGAGGTAATTGAATCATGAGGGCAAGCGTTTCCTGTGCTGTTCTCGTGATCATGAATAAGTCTCACAAGATCTGATAGCTTTATTGGGGGAGCATCCCTACACAAGCTCTTTTTTCTCTTTGCCTGCTGCCATCTATGTAAGACATGACTTGCTCCTCCTTGTCTTCTGTCATGATTGTGAGGCTTCCCCAGCCATATGGAACTGTAAGTCCAATTAAACCTCTTTCTTTTGTACGTTGCCCAGTATTAGGTATGTCTTTATCAGCAGCATGAAAACGGACTAATACAGTATCCATCCAGGTCAGCATCTTGGAGCACAGAGCAGGCTGGAAACTGGATCTGAAAGGACAAGTCAGGGGTGTGTCTAGAACAGAGTTTAATCATTTTGATATCAGACTTGAGGCCACATGGATCCTCTAGCATTATGCTGGGCATGGCATTTAGGACAACAAAGAGACATCCATGAGTAAAACAAAGGAATTTCTATTTCTACTGTTCCTCCTAGGCAATCCTCATCTGGGATCCTTTGTCCTCTGCATATATTGGGTTTATGTTCAGAGTCACCTGGAGAAAACGTACAAAACCAGTCAAAGATAAACTCAGGAGACTCTCCCCATGGGGACATCTGACCTGAGACCCACCCTGGTCTTCAGGCTTGCTCCAGATAAAGGGCCATCTCTTAGCAAAGACTACTGTGGAGTTGCTTCCCACAGCCTCAGTTCCTCCCAAAGAGCCCTCTTTAGCCTCTCAAGCTACCAGAGACTGGCTGGGACAAAACATCAGAGATGAGGCTGACATGGGAAAGTACTAATCATGTGGCTATTTGACAAAACAGTATAAAGACAATCTTGTTTTCAAAAAGCATATTAACCCAGAATCACAAGGACTGTATTTTTAAATAATAGCAAAAAGAATGAGTCAAAATATACAAAATCACTTGTAACCCACTTGTATCTGCATTTTTTTCCTTTCAGATGCCTTGTGTTTATATTCAATTAAGTTGTGTAAGGTGAATTCGATGCTTTGTTTGGTTTTGCATAAGCACTTGGTTTGATTTATTCATCTGACTGGTGGTGTGTTTCTCTGAGAGTTCCTATTTACTGATCCTAAGGCTCAAGCATCTATTATAACTGCTAACTAACAGCCCCATCTTGCCACCCGTGGCAATAAATAAAGAGCAGGCACAGTCCAGAGAGAGCCTAACAAGTCCCTGTGGTCCTTTTCACCAACAGAGATGAGCAGGATATAGAAGGGGGCGAAGTAAAAAACAATTATTAAGAGTAAGAAAGTGAACAAGGGAGATAATGAAGAAGAAGGAAAATGAAAGAGAGGGAGGAGGAAAGGATGATGACAAGGAAACCGTGGACAAAAGTGAACAGCTCAGATCGATTTATTCTAGTGAGCTGTTTCTCCAAATGCCTATGGTTCTTCAGGTCCTCCTGAGAATATACCAGAGAAGCCAAAGGGTGGAAGGCCACAAGAGGTGGAACTTCCAGCACAAGTTTCAACGTGCGCGTACCTGAAGGTGAACCTTTGGCATGTGGCAGGATTGTCGTTGATGTCTTCCACAGTGAAGGTTATCTGGATGCGATTCTCCTGACCCCCATATGGTCTGTCCTTTACCAGAACTTCCAGGGAAATGGCGGGATTCTGTCTCAATTCACCTGCATCTCGGTCGATCCTCTGGGCCACTTGGATTGCACCAGTCACTAAGAAATCAAAGGTTAGAATGTGCCCCTTTTAAGAGAAATGAAAACAGAAACCTGGAGAAACCTGGAAAAGACCTTTCTAATAGGAGGAAAAGCTTATGCAGAGCATAATCTCTATACAAGTACATTTTTGAAAACCCATGAAGTTCCTGTGTTAGGCATTTATTGGGGTATCTGGCCTGATCCTTCTAGGAATTCTCACACTTCACTTCAGAGTTGGGTCCCTGGGGGCAGCCTTGCCAGTAGACTGGACTGGTAGATAGCTGACTCCAGCTTGGCCCACAGGGTTCTCTTATTGAAGAATTTCTAACTGAAAGACACACATTGGAGGCTCAGCCAGGCTAATAGTGGAGCTACAGAGCTGAGGTCCCTAGAGCAGCGCTGGGTCACGTCCTTCCTGTGCTCCCATCTTTCGGCATTTTCTTAGGAGATGCCCTGAATCCTGTTGACAGATGTCCCTGCCTTTTTTTTTCCTTTTGGTGAGCATGGTTTGCCTTAGTTTCTGTTACCTGCAACCAAAGAATCTTAATAAATATGCTCAAAATTAAAAAAAAACCCAAACTCTCTCTCTACTTGTTAAAAGTTGAATTTTGCAACACTAGAGTAAACAGCATTCTCAACCATGGTTGTCCCTACACTCTCAGCTGACAAGACATTAGGACGTTTTCAGAGGCAGTGCTCAATTATTGCTTTTGCCTGCATCTCCTGGGAATAGGTATCCTTTGCCCAAAAGCCTAAGGAGGCAGTAGCACATTGTTTTTCTGGGATTGTCCAAGGCTGAAGTCCTTTTTGGTGATACAATTAGGACTTAAAGGGATGGGACAGTCTGATAGTGGTTGAGGACAGGCCTGAGGAATCGGGCAGCTTAGGTTGGTACTTCTCCCTCACGACCTACAAGCTGTGAGACTTTGAGCAAGTTGTTTAGCCTGCCTGAGGCTCTCCCTAGGCCTCAGTTTCCTCATCTGTAAAATGTGAATAACGATAGTTCATTGAGTTACCATCTTGAGTACTTGAGATCAGATACATGTGAATAATCACTCAGCATAATGCCTGGTATGTACTAAGGCCCCAGTAAAAGATGGTTATAGAAGTGGAGAGAAGGGGAATTCCTCCCCTTCAGGGATGGGAAAATAACTCCCAGCAGTCTGGCAGATTGATGTAGAATGACACTGTCCCATACAGTTACCACTAGTCATATGAGAGTTATTGAGTGATTTAATGGTGCTAATCCAAATTGAGATGTACTATAAGTATAAAACATACAACAATCTTCCAAGACTTGGTACCAAAGAAAATGATATGAAACACCTCATTAATACCTTTCTTTTTTTTTTTTTTTGAGACAGAGTCTTGCTTTGTCGCTCAGACTGGAGTAGAGTGGAATGATCATAGCTCACTGCAGCCTTAAACTCCTGGGCTCGAGAGATCCTCCTGCCTCAACTTCCTGAGTAGCTGGGACTATAGGTGTGGGTCACCACACTCAGCTGATTTTAAATTTTTAGTAGAGACAGGGTTTCACTACGTTGCCCAGGCTAATCTCTAACTCTTGGACTCAAGCAATCCTCTGGCCTCAGCCTCTCAAAGTGCTGGGATTACAGACATGAGCCACTATGTCTGGCCATGAATAACTTTTAAGTACTGATCACATTGAAATGATATTTTATACATGTTGAGATAAATAAAAATGCCTCATTGAAATGAATTTCTCCTATTTTTTTTTACTTTTTAAAAATGTGACTACTAGAGACTTTGAAATGATATGTGACTTCATTTTATTCCTATTGGACAGTGCTGAGATAGCTCCTCTCTTCAGAAGACCAAAGGGTACTCTCAGGGTAAGTAACCCATCCATCCTTACACATCTGCCTTTGAGAAAAAGGTGATGGGATTCTGGACACATTACCCTAAAATATGGCACCTTGCATTTGAGAAAACAGCAGAAGCAGGAGGGTCTCTCCAACCTTCTCCTGCCCTTCTTCCCGAAGCAGACCATAAAAGAGGTCTCTGGCTTTCCTTTGAAGCAGTCATAAGACCTTCATTCCAGAGGTATCCTACCTATACCTGGAGGAAAGGCACATCCTATTTGGGAAGACAGAGATGCCAGGAAGAGTCTGAACAAATGGGCCTTGCTAAACTCTCCCAGGTTTACTATGATTTGATCATATCCTTCTGTCCTCCAATCATACTTCTCCACAATCACTCACTTCATCAAACTGACCATAAAAACACATGGGTCTTCCTGTTTCTTTGAGTCTTCATTTCTGAAGGCTCTGGTGTAACATAAAACTTATGTTAGGCCGGGCGCGGTGGCTCAAGCCTGTAATCCCAGCACTTTGGGAGGCCGAGGTGGGTGGATCACAATGTCAAGAGATTGAGACCATCCAGGTCAACATGGTGAAACCCCGTCTCTACTAAAAATACAAAAAATTAGCTGGGCATAGTGGCGCGTGCCTGTAATCCCAGCTACTCAGGAGGCTGAGGCAGGAGAATTGCCTGAGCCCAGGAGGCCAAGGTTGTGGTGAGCCGAGATCACACCATTGCACTCCAGCCTGGGTAACAAGAGCGAAACTCCGTCTCAAAAAAAAACTTACGTTAAATAAATTTGTATGCTTTTCTATTGTTAATCTGTCTTTCTTATAGAGGTCTCAGTCACAAACCTAACAATGGGTAAGAAAATAAATATCGTCACCCCCCCAGCCGCAGCTCCCACAAAGGTGAAGGGGGACATAGTTGTCAACCCTATTTCATTTCCCCAACCCCCATGCCAGCTGATTACCTTGGTAACCAATGATCACCCCAGACAGATATACCCCAGACCAGAAAATAAGAAAAACACAATCCGCCCTCTGTATCCATGGGTTCTGCATCCTCAGATTCAACCAACTGAGGATTAAAAATATTCAGCAAAAATAAATGAATGGTTGCATCTGTACTAAACATGTACAGACTTTTTTCTCATCAGTATTACCTAAGCAATACAATATAACAACTCTCCACATAGCATTTACATTGTATCAGGTAGTATAGGTAATCTAGAGATGATATAAAGTATATGGGGGACACGCATAGGTTATATGCAAATACCATGCCATTTCATAGAAAGACTTGGGCATACGTGGATTTTGGTATATACAGTGCATGCTGGAACAAATCCTTATGGGTATCGAGGGATGACTGCATTGTAAAACAATCCAAATGGCTGAATTAGAGGGTACACTTAAGGATGGAGGTGAGTGGCTTACACTGATTTATCATGAAATATTTGCTAACGGTGGTAATGCTGTAGAGGAGGTGGCTGGGAAGACCTTCCTCATCAGGATCCTCTGCTGTGATATTGGCCACGATGGTTCCAGGACTCAGTTCCTCCAGGATCGTGTACACTCGTGTCGGGCTGTAACAGAGATACAGCAGACACAGCTAATTTTCAGGGGCACAGGAAGGTAGCGTCTAGGCGATGGGTATTTTGGTTAGTCCTAAATATAGTGCAGAGCTGTTCAAGTTGCATCAGCATGCTCTGCGGGAGAGCACAGCAGCGGGAAGGAGCGTGGCTGGCTTTTGTATTCCCAAAGATCACATCCCTGTGGATGCGAAGAAAGTACTGCACTGCCGTTGTGACGATTTACATGGGCCACCACAGTCTCCTACTCTACGCACATCTGCCTGATGTCATTTCAGATCAGCCTTGGCATTAACGTCTTTTGAAATAAGGAGAGTTGGCCTATCCAGCTCTCTTTTCTCATTTCCCCACTTTTTGTGCAGATTTCCCTGAATTCTTTTAGAAATCACTGTGTCCAGAACATGCCAGGGTCATGTCCGGAGCTGTGGGTTCCCTTCCTTGTTCCCGACTCCCATCCCATGGCTGCCACCAGAAGCCAGAAATGCTGTAAAGCCTCTCTGTTCTCACACCTTTGCTCACTTTTTTTTTCTTCCTTGTCTTTTTCTTTCTTTCTTTTTTCTTTTTTTTTTTTTTTTTGCCTGAGGATACAGAATTTATGCACAGAACTTGCGTGCATTAATCATGAGGTTCAGCTCTCTGAACTGAGAACTAGGTCCCCTGGCAGAAGACCAGACCCCATAACTGTCCTCCTTCTTGCAAGATAAACCCAAATCTTAGCCATCTTCCTCAGACCCCCACCAATGCCTTTGGAACAGGCCAGTAACGAGACTGATAGGTTGGGAGTTTTAACTGACTATGTATTGAGTAATTCTGAAGGCTCTAAGGGAGGCTTATTGTTTAAAGTAACTCTGCAGGAAGTCCTTCTGCTGAGGAAAATCATTTCAGTGGGGCAAATAGTCACCTCTAATCTCCCAGTTTCCCAAGTGGAGATGTTCCCATGTGGGATCGTCTTTGAGAGGGGTATAGTGCCTCTGAGATCTAAGTAACTGCGTTCCTTTTATAAGCTCAGCATGTTCTGCTGTGCTATCTCACCATCCCAATAAGGTAGGCAGGGCCAGAAAAAGGAGAGATGGCAGGGAACCAATCGCTAGAGTCAGGGGCAGATAGAGAAAGGCAGGAACCAGGTCCTCACCCTGACCCTCCCTATGAGGGCTCCTCCCTGGATCCATGGTCCCCCGACATCCATTCACAAGGTGGTCTCCTGTGGGTATACTTCATTGCTGGGAGAGAGTAATCATGTTCAGCCTAAAGTCACTCCGGTGCCCCACTGAAACAGGCCCATTCATCCTTCCCTTACTGGGGACACCTCCTTCTCAGGGAGTCTGTGATGCTGTCACTGGTGAGTCCAGGAATAGGCAAAGTGGGATGGGACCAAAGAGGTGGGGTGGCAGGAGGAAAAACCAGAGCCAGGAGGGGAGGAGGTGGCCACAGTCCCCCAGGCGGGCCAGTTCTTCAGTCCCTTCTGTGAGCGCCCCTGTTGCTACTGTGGTGTGTTTTTGCTTTGGTCATTGAGTGGGTTCTGTTAACTTCCAAAGAAGATCCCACTAAGAGGCGTGTGCTACTCACATGGCTATGCGCTACTCCAAGCATGCTCCTAGAAAAAGCATCGCCAGGGAACTGGTTAGACATGCAAACCTCAGGCCCGCCCACTCCAGCCCTCTGAACCAGGACTGGGGTTTTCACAAGATGCCCAGTGGATCTCTACAGGCTTTAAGGTTTCAGAAGGATGATTATAAGGTGATGCCAGAGGTGGCAACCACAGCCTCCCAGCCTCCCACAGGACAGAGAAAGGATACCTAGGGAGGAAAAGTCCCTTCCTCCCATCACCCCTTTTTCCTTCTTAGACAGTGGTTCTCAGCTGGGGGGGAAGGGGGGCATCTGAACACGTTTGATTTTCACAACGAGGGGAGAGAGCTGCTGTGATGTTTAGGGGATAGAAGCCGGAGATGATGTTGCTACACATCCTCCAGTGCACAGGACAGCCCCTCTACAAAGGGGTCCCTGGCTCAATGCCATCAGTGCTGCTGTGTAAGAAACTGTGCTCTGAAGGCTCACCTAGTCCATGCTGGGTGCTCCAGGAACCTAGATCCCCGAGAAGGGGACTGGTCAGGCTATTGGCACAGCACCTCAGGTGAAATATTCTCTCTTGGTTAGCCTGACATCGAGCCTGGCAGGAGATAAAATCTTTAATCTATTTGATTTTTGAATCCAAGATACAGGTGTGTATAAAATATCATTCAACATAGACCACAGTTAAGAGCTATGCAAAGCATAGCAAAGCCAGGAGCTGTGCAGCCAGCCTGACAGAGGCTGACTTCTCTGCCGCCACCTGCATTTCCACGCCTTCTTACCCGAAACACCTGACCTCCGGAGCTTGGGCCGGCAGCCACACTCGGGGGAAAGGTGTAAATGCTGGGAAGCTATGGATGGCTTCACTATGAATGAGTTTTCAGTGAGTGCTTACGGTGAGTTTTCAGTGTACACTGCGGGGCCTCAGGTGGAAAAGGACTGAGTAAATACAAAAGAAATGAGCAGGAGGGGAGAAAGACCTCCCTACCCAACTCTAAAATAAAGTGCTCTGCACACACAGCAAGCTCTGCGCATGGGAAAACAGTAACTTTGTCAGCTGCTGGGCTTTTTGTTTTTGTTTTGACACGGAGTTTTGCTCTTGTTGCCCAGGCTGCAGTGGTGCGATCTTGGCTCACCACAACCTCTGCCTGCTAGGTTCAAACGATTCTCCTGCCTCAGCTTCCTGAGTAGCTGGGACTACAGGTGTCCCTGCCACTGCACCTAGCTATTTTTTTGTATTTTTAGTAGAGATAGGATTTCACCATGTTGGTCAGGCTGGTCTTGAACTCCTGACTTCAGGTGATCCACCTGCCTTGGCCTCTCAAAGTGCCAGGATTACAGGTGTGAGCCACCCTGTCAGCCTGTCAGGTGCTTTTATAATAAAATAATCAACTTCATTAATAGCAGACTCCTAGAGCTCACATTCTGAGTCTATAAAGCTTTCCAACATTTGTCACCACCCAGGGAGAAAATGGGGAGACAGTCTCAAGAACTGTCTCAAGAACAAGACACAGGATTTGCTTTGGTTGTGTTAATTGCAGGAATTTAACAAATAGTAAAGATAGATATTTCACACTCAAACTCAGAACACTTGAGTCTGTTTGAGGATTTAATTTTGTTAATCCTGAATTAAAGTAGTTATCGTTAGTGCTAGCACTGATTTATAGGAAAAGGAGGATCAGAGGCTCAGGGGAACCATGAAAGACCTCCACGTCAGCACTTAGTTTGAAACTGAGCAAATCCTTTCAAATTGTGGATGGCTGAAGGATGAGGCTGACTCTCATCGACTGCCTGCGCCAAGTCAGGGCTGCCACCCTGCCCCCACTCCTTCTTTTAGAGTGAGGCTCTAGAAGACCATCTTCACCTTCATCCAAAGAATGCTGTTTGAAATAAAGTTGACTGACTGAAAAAAAAAAAACCAGATCGTCGCACAGATCATGCTGTCTGCCTGGGAATGGAGCCTGATATGTTCCTCTTTCAAACCTAAAAGGAGGACCCGAGAGTTCCAGGCTGACCTCTGGGTGCATCCCAAGCCAGCGAGGGTCATGTTTTCTCTCTGCTAAAGTCAGTTGCTGTATTTTTGAAGATGTGGTCCAAACCAGATGGTTTACAAGTTCTGCCCCTGGGGAGTTCTTATTATTTTTCCCTTTGCACCCCCATTAACCTGCCTCCCCTCCTCACAGATGGGGCTTGTGGGGAAGGTGGCAAAGAATGCATCTGCTCCAGCCCTCAGCCATCACCTCCTCTGGGGGTTCTTGAAGAATCTGCAGAGCTGTGTGGGGCCATACCTGAGCATGAATCTGAACTGGGATGTCACAACTGTTAATAAGCTGCCTGGACTTTGCTCCAAGAGCCACCTGTCAGCTTAAAGGCACTGTGCTCTCCTTCTGAACCTAACCCAGCTTGAGGCGCTGACGGAAAGCATTATGTAGCAATTTAATCGCAGCAGATAAATTGAGGGTCAGGTTGGAAAGAGGAACGTATTGGGGCTCCATCCCCAGGCTGCAGGGCTGCAGCAGATGCATTCTTTGATACCTGCAACTGGACTGTAGACTGTGTTCACATCCAGAAGTTGTGCAACTGTTGTGTGTGTGCCAAGTGGCACCAGATTAGCCTGCGAGTGCCGCTGCCTTAATACCTCCCAATCTTGGAGAACTTTTGCAAGCCCTCTACCTAGCTCTGAGGCCTAATGGACTTCTGTTGGTGGAGGGTCCTGTGCTGAATCTATTCATAGCCATTCATGCTGTTAAAGGTGATTTTGACACTTTCCTTGTGGCTGGCTCCTATGCCCATCTCAGGGACTGGGGTAGGCAGAGGCTCTGTAAGCAGTATGCCAGGAGAACTGCCAGGGAAACATTCCATGTGAAAGAATCAAACTTTGCTGACATTACTTTAAAATGGGATGGGGAAAAAACATGGAGTGGGAGGAGTGAAGGCAGAGCCTGCCCCTACCAGCTCAGAATCCCCTTTTCCTAAATTCCCATCTATGATAGGCTCAGAGCTTCCTTTTGTGTCAGGTGCCAGGCATATTTCCACAAACTCCCTCCACCTGACGCATTTACCCTTCCCACCTCTGCTGGATGGAGGAGCTGCCAGACACAGTCGGATCACTTTTTTCTGGATCCACCATGGAAGGAAGAAACTTTAGAGCACCCGGTAATGGGCAAGCACCATGATAACAGCCCTCCTCTCAGTGCGAGGATGACACACCAGGAGGGAGACGTGAGTGATGACACGTGATCTGGGACTCTGCATCATCACTATTACTAACATGCAGTTACTATCACTGTCACTAATGTGCAGCCACCATCACTGTCACTAACGTGCAGACACCATCACTGTCACTACACCATCATTGTCACTAATGTGCAGCCACCATCACTGTCACTACACCATCATTGTCACTAACGTGTGGTCACTATCACTGTCACTACACCATCACTGTCACCAACGTGCGGCCACCATCACTGTCACTACTGTGCGGCCGCCATCACTGTTACTGACGTGCAGCGCTTTATTATAAAAGCACCCTCTGCGTGTGCACAGTGGCAGGCCCCACACCCGGGCATGTGTCAACCCCTCCTCCCCACAATACCCAAAATCCCGTGGTGGCTGTGAACATGGGGGTACAGGCGGCAGAGGCAGCAAAGGTGGAAAACAGCAGTCCAGAGGGCCAGACAGAGACTTTGAAGAGCTCACGCCTCTAATCTCTCCTGCAGGCCAGAGCAAAAGGCATGTCTCTGCCTTGTATTAAATGTGCCAGAGGGGACAACGTGGCCTAAGAAGGACATGCTGGCGGCCCAGGGAGTCCTGCATGCCCTCAGGCCTACCTGGTAAAGTGAGGGGCTTCGTCGTTGAGGTTCACGATGTTCACCTGGATGGCCGTGGAGGCCCTGAGGCCACCGCTGTCCCTCACCTCCACGATGAGATGGAAACTGCCAGGAAACATTCCACATGAGAGAGTCAAGCTTCACTGACGCTACCTCAACATGGGATGGGGAAAGACATGGGGTGGGAGGAGTGAGGGCAGAGCCTGCCCCTTTGGTGGTGACCCTCTCCATAATGCCCCCAGTCTCAGGGCCTGCAGGGCTACTGTTCTCTCCCTGCCCCTGAACCCACTGGCTGCTTCTCATTCTGCAGTGGCTATGAACCACCATCATCCCACCAGGCCAGCGTCTGCTCAAGCACCATGCTGCATCCTCTGTTCTGGTATTTCTCACAAGATCCTTGGAATGTGCCTATCACTCCCACAGGAGGGAGAAAGGCCCCCATGGTTCCCATGTCTAGCTCTTGTTCCCACGCCCAGCGCAGAACCAGGAGCCTCACCTGCTTCACCCCAAGGCCAATGTGTTTTCATCCACAGGGCCTGGACTTTCCTGGAGGCCTGCTCACCCCACGTCATTGCTTTCCCCTCATCAGCCACTTTGCTCGGATGGCTGCCTCTCGCAAACAACATGCGTTCTGAGAAACCTTGTATAGATCACCCTTAACATTAGTGACTCCATTTTAGAAAACGATGCCATCTTACATTTCAAAAGGCATCAAGCCAACAGGGTCCAGATGTTCACCCAATCAAGAGAGACAACACTCAACTAGGTCAGGGCATAATCCTTTACTACCAGTCTTCACCAGAGGACCCAAGGGCCATAAAATGAGCAGGACTTCACTGGCTCAACATGGCCATCTTGACGGACCCTGTCTTGCTGTCACTTGTGATCTGTACCCCACATCTGCCCAAATCAACAAGCCTTCCTTACAAGATATTGATGACCTTGGATGTGACCAAGACGCTCTCCTTGTCCACATCACTGTCCTTGGTCTGGCTTATTAGCTTCTTTTCCCTACTCCCTTTCCTTGTGGTGTTAAATGTGACTTTGATGTGGAATGTTTATAACATGTATGTGTTGATGACATATCTACATTTGGTTTACAATACTGACCGAACTTTGGAGTGGCTTAAGCCTGTGTGCTCTGACTATTGTGTCAACAAGAAGTCTAAGGAGAGTTGCCTCCTTGGGAATTCCATGTAGTTCATGGCTTTCGGGATTGAAATAGCGTCGGTAAAAATCTGACCTTATGGAAAGATGAAAATGTGCATGGACCTGGAGCTCCAGTGGTGCAATTGGTTAGCGTGCGGTACTTATACAGCAGCACATGCAGAAAATGTGCATGGACCCGGTTACATCTGACCTTGCACTGCTCATGACACTCCTGTACTGAGTCACCATCTCCCATACTGTCATTCTTGTTCTCTGGAGACCAAAAGAGGACTCCCAGACAATTGCCTTATTCCCCGTCCCTCTCTGGGGTTCACTACCATCTGAACTTACAATGAGGCTGTAGATCACTCAAAGGCCCCGCCCCAGCTGCCCTCAGTTTGCACTGTGACCTGTCCCTCACGTTTTCCTTGACCCTAGGATAAATGGTACTTCAAGCAAGGTCAGTAGTCAGGCTACCTGCTGGGTCCTGCTTCAAAGTCCAATTCTGTTGTGGAGAAGAGGGTGCCATTAGCAGACATTCTGAAGTTCTTTGAGGGAGAAACCAGGAAATACTAAAAAACAAGGGAAAATGTTGATAAAATCAGCCCACCTGCCCACCCTTCCCCAGAAGATGTATGCTCATCTCCTGTTTTATATTCTTAGCCCATGGAATGTTCCTGATGCATCAGGATGAGGTTCAAATGAGCCGTTGCCCAATTTAATCGCTCTTGAATCCAGAAACTCCTGGCTCTATTGGTCTGAGCCCTGGTTGACCACACCGTGAAGAGCTGGTGAGTAGATCCTGCTCTAACTACAGAAAGTATATAAAAGGCCCCGTCAAGGCAGACTCTGCTTCTGAGTCCAATCTTCTTATCCCTATCAGTGTGTTCTCACTTCTTCTGGACAACTTCTGGCTTTGATTCTATGCCTTGGCTTTAACCAACACTGTTTAAATACACCTACTACCCATTAGGTGATAGGACTATATCAAAAGGAGTAGGGTCTGATCACTATCCTTACAAACAACTTACAATATAGCAGGTATAAAAATGTGCACGACCAACACTCATTGAAATGACTGAAGGAACCAGGGACAAGAGTGAGCTGAGAATGAAATGTGGCAGGGCCTGCCATTCAGGCTGGAAGCTGCTTTATGGATATAGAAGAGCTGTTTTTATATCTAATTCCTGGCATGTGGGCCATAGGGAAAGTCCTTCCTACATCTTTGGGTAGTCGAGAGTCTTTGTCATCCTTGGCTCCCAGCCCAGCTCTCTTGAAGACACCCGGCCCAGAACTCCTTGATCTGATAGGAAGAGACAGGTTTATGTGTACAGCCCACTGAGGACCAGTCCACAGGAGGACCTTGCCTGTGCCACCCATGGGAGCTCATCCAGACTGCCCTGTTTCTCCCACAATAGAGTCAAGAAAACAGGGGAAGAGCCTGGATCTTCCCCTGAAGAGCTGGGTTCAGGGTCCAAGTTCCTTTTTTTTTTTTTTTTTTTGAGACAGCATCTGGCTCTGTTACCCAGGCTGGTAACAGTGATGGTACAGTGGTGCCATCATGGCTCACTGCAGCCTCTCCACCTCCCAGGCGCAAGCAATCCTCCCATCTCATCCTCATGAGTAGCTGGGACTACAGGTGTGTGGCTCCACACCCGACTAACTTTTTTGTCTTTTTTGTAGAGACAGGGTTTCACCATGTTGCCCAGCTGGGCTCGAACTCCTGACTCAAGGGATTGAAATAGCATCCACCTGCCTCTGCCTCCCTAAGTGCTGGGATTACAGGCATGAGCCACTGCATCTGGCTTAAGCTCTGGTCCTTACCACAAGATCTGGAACAAGTGCCTTTCTTGCCTATAATTTAGGGCTGATATGACCAATTACTCCTCCATGTTATCAAGGATTAAATGAGAATGCACGCCGTAAAATATGAAGGATAGCAGCAACGCTAGAGACTTATATGTTTATATCCATTTTTTCCAAAGGGCTTTAAGGTTAGAAGGTTTCATTATTTCCTGCTAGGATGAGGGATGTTCTAGCCTCAAGGCCTTAGATCTCAGAATCAGATCATCGGTGGAGGTTTTGCAACCAGAGCCACAGCCCCTGAAGTCTAGAATCAAAGGAAACACCTGCCAAGGTTTCCAGCCCAGCGATTTGCTGTGTTATGATCACTGCTGAGCTCCCAGTACAAGAAGGGAGTGCACACAGAAAATAGATTAAAGGTCTCCTTTGAGGCCAGTATAAGGCTTTAAAGCCATTTTTAAAGTTTCCTTTTGTTTATTATTTAATAATGTTTTTCTAGTTGTAATGAACATATTTTATACAAATCTGAGAAAGATAGAAAAGTATAAAAAAGAAATGAAATATGTCACCTATTAAATCTCATTTTGGTGATTAGCCTTCTGTTCTTTTCCATACAAATGTATACTTTCCAAAAATTAATGGTGATGTTATCAACAAAATCATAATATCTGTTCATTGCATTTATATCTTGAGCATTTACCCTATTCTTAAATCGTATTTTACAGCCTGGTTAGTTAACAATGGCACAGCATCACACTACAGGGGTTTATTTTACTAAATCCTTTCTTGCTGATCATTTAGCTGTTTTCTGCCCATTTTTAAGGGGAAATATTTGGGTGATGCCACAGGGTACCCTTCTCCCAGCCCCACAAATTGTACAAGCACCTTGGCGGTACTCCCAGGTGAGATGTTTAAATCCCAATCCCTCCATTAGCACTCCAGTTCATGGCCTGGCAGCAGCTGCCTAGGCCTGCAGCTGCCCAAGCACAGAGTAGTCCTGTGTCTTTAAGCAGAGTCTTCCCTGCAGAGAATCCTCACATGTCCATAAATCAGAGCCTTAAGCTAGATATGATAGAACGACAGAGTTTTAGAGACTCATGGGTCGGGAAGGAGATTTACTATATGAACCTGAATCAGGGTGTCTTTCCACATGTGTTTTGAAATGCTCTAGCATCTTGGTCTCCAATTCTGGTTGGTCCAAGCATGAAAAGGTCTTGAGATACAGAGATGACAGACAGGCCCTGCCCTCCGAAATCTTATGGTCAACTGAGGAAACAAAGGTTTGGGGAGGTGCTCCAAGGGGGATCAATACAGGATATGAGGGGAACCAAGAAGAAGGACCCTTAGACTTATCTGGAGTACAAGAGTCACAAATTAGGGCAGTAAATTAAGTTTGGTGACTGTGGAACCAGAATACCTGGATGTGGATACTGGTTCGCCACTTTCCAGCCATGTGATGCTTGCAAAGGGTAATAATGCTAGGGCATGCCCCACGGGTTATCATATAAAGTGCTAGAACAGTGCCTGGTGCATAGCGAGCTCTCAATAAATGTTACTACTGCTGTCCCATTAGAAGAGATCCGTAAAGGAAAGGGCTTCATTTTATTCACTGCTGCATCCTCAGTGACTAGCACATAATAGATGCTCAATAAATATTTATTCAATGTTAAATATTAAGGTTTTCTTCTTATTCATTTCCCATCTACATAAGACCAACATTCCCACCTTAGAGAATCTTAAAACAAAAAAAGCAACAACAAAAAAAACATCCTGCAAAACATTTTCTAAAAATCTATTTGAATGTGCTAATGCTAGACTTGGCTATGAAATCTTCTCCACTGGGCCCATAGTCTCAACAACTTATGCAGAAAGGAAAAAAGAAAAACAGTAGCAGATAGAAAGCCTATGGAGAACTGTAGAACTAGGCACATGAGAATTTTCTGTTTAATTTCTATTAAGAGGGTGATTTCTTGGAATCTTGATTTTTTTTCTTTTTAACACCAGGCTAATTTCTTTTTTCCCTGAACCCAAGAGCTGTGTTAAAGGAAACAGCAGTTTTGTATAAGAAAGGAGATAATATCCAAAGACTAAAAATATTGTGTCATGTGGCCATTTGCCAGGGACTCAGCAAGGCTCTCTGTAAAACCTGGCATTTTCTCCCCCTTTTTTAAAGGCTTGTTTAATCAAAGCTGCTCCCTTGATATTCATTCTTGGAAAACAGAAATTAAATAGAATGAAAAGCAAATGCAGCCCCTCTCTGCCCCAGTCCTGGCTAAGAAAATCCTGAGTAATCAGAGTAATTCAGTTAACAAATGCATGTCAGATAAGCTCTCTGGTTTTTCTGCTGGAAATATTCCTTTACCACCACCCCAGGTTTGGCTATTTTGCAGCCCCTTTGCAGATAGGTTTGCTCTCGGACACAAAAGCTTTAGTTTGGAAGACAAGGAGACCATCCTTCCTGCCCCATTCACCCTTTATTGTGCCTTGGCTAGGGAGAAAGGAAGGTGAGAGGGAGCTGGCCCAGTTTCCAGAAATGTCAGGCTCCCTGGGGTAAGAGGGGACCGCCACCTCCAGGCTTGCTTTCCCACTGCAGTTGGAGTCACAGGTCAATGATTCAACCTGTGCGACTTTGCAGCCATCAGTTGCTTTCAGGCCTGCAGTAGAAACAAGCAACAAGAATTCAGCCTCTTATCTTCTATAGAATAGAGCAGTCAGCTGCCAAGCCACCGCGAGTTTCCAGAGGGAAAGACCCTTATTCTGCCCACATCCAGAGAGTGTCAATATCTCTACCAGCCCACACCCACCCCAGAGGGCCAGAGCACTCAGGACTGTGGCAAGTTACAAATATGTTGCCACATTGTTACGATATTTTTCAATGGAAGCTGACTATTTTGTAAAAGCCTCAATTCCTCTGTTTTTCCCTATTCCACCCTCATCTCAGCTAAGAGGCAGGAAGGAGGTCAGGAGGAAGGCGGGAAGAGTGCCTAGAAGAAAGAAAAACTACAGTGAAGAAACTACCAGCTGCGAGCCCTTAACGTGGCTCCTACTTGTGGTTTATTGTTCTGAGGATGAGCTAAGTGGGTTACAGACAAGTACTTGAATGTTATTAAGAAGAGACACTATGACAAATGCAAAATGTGGTTATTAATGTAATCCTTCACCGATACAGCTGCAGATCCTATGCCCTCACACTGTGTCATTCTTTCTCCATAATCAGCCCAGGTTCTGTGCTGCAAGTGGGGCTTTGCTAATCTTAATGACAACAATCCCCATCTATTTAAGTGTCCCTCCCAATATAGAAACAGCCAGCAGTGACCACGTATTTGGAGTGGGAATTGTCCAGTACCGTTGGTTTTCCTTTTATGAGCATTTTAACAAGAACCTGGAGTAGAAGGAAGAATACCTTTTGCTCAGACTTCACGTGGTGACTCTTGAGTTGGCAGGCAGACACCAAGAGAGCTGAATGAGTGGGGCATGTGGGGGTGTGTGGTGGGGACAGGGATGCTGTCACTCAGCAAAGAAAGGGGTGAGAAGCCAAGGGCAGAACTTGCCAGAACAGAGTAGAAGGGAGTTGGGTCAGGAGACCTGGGTTCTCACTGCAGTTAACTGGCCCCTCAGTTCCCTCCGTCATTCAGAAATAAAGGGCTGCTCAATGGACCTGAAAGATCTCATCTAGCTAGGACCCTTGATAGGGCCAGGTTTGGCATACAATGACCACTTTATTCCCAGGAAAGCCAAAACTCACAACTGGCTGCCACTTCTGAGAGCC